CTCTTCATCTAGATTCATTAATTAACATTTTGTCACATTTACTTCCTCCCCTGTGTATTTCTATAGCAGTTATCCTCTAAAAGTGCCTTAAAACAACAATAATATCTCTCAAAATTCTGGGGGTTGACTGGTTTTAGCTGGTGATTCTGTTGCATGTGATGTTGGCTGGAGTTTGACTAGGCTGCAACATCTAAGATGGCTTACTGTCTCACCTTGGTGGTATTGGTTAAAAGGCTTAGCTGCGATGGCTAAATAACGTTTCTGTGCCTTCCTTCTGCTCCCTTTACCCCTCTCCCACCTCTCTTCATCTTTTCATCTCTTCATGTCATGTCAGAGCCTTTCCCTCCCATGTGGTCTCTCCAGCAGGGTAGCCCAGCTTTTTATACAACAGCTCAAGGCTCCCAAAAACATAAAAGGGGAAGCTGCCAGGCCTCCTTAATGTTTCAGCTTAAAATACACAGCATTGATTCCACCACTATTTATTGGCTAAAACACTCACAAGATCACCCAGATGCTCTGTGAGGGGGACTGCACAAGAGTAAGAATACTGATAGTAATGGTTCGTTGACATACACCATTTGAAATTGCAGGTAACAAGACACTTCACTCTAAAGTACTTAAGCCTGAATCTCCAAAGATATGGAAATTTTCTTACCATTTTCACACCTAAGAATATTAACAGTAATTCCATATATAAATCTAGTATAGAGCCCACACACATTTTCCCAGTTGTCTCCAAAATATTATTTGTCTCCAAAATATAATCAGTTCTGTTATACCTTAGTAAATTTCTCAGTCTCCAGGATCTCATTGTCAAATCTCCAGTTCTCCTTACACACACAGTTGTAACTTTGCTGTATATGTTTCAAAGAAAATAGATGGCAATAGATGAAAACTGCCTTTACTTTCGTTATGGAAGAAGTATCTCTGTTCCTATTTAAGGCCAGTCCCTCCAGTCATATCCAGAGTCTCATCTGCCTGTGCCTTCTAAAGACCTTTCCTCTTTTCTAAATGATTCCTGTTGTGCCTTAGTATCACCCATCATTAAAAAGCCCTCTTATGACCTTACGTTCCCCTCCAGCTACTGCCCCCTTTCTTTGCTCCCCGCACAGCAGAATTCTTTGAAAGAACTGTTTTCTTCATTTTCTCCACCTTCTTACTGCCTCCCCTTCTCTCATCAGCTTCTCCAAGTGGGCTTTCATCCTCCGCCATTCCACTGAAATGGTGTATGATGTTTATGAAGTTTACCTGGCAGTATTTCACACAATCCACCATTCTCTCCTTAACATTTAAACCTTCATAAATGTTCTTCTCTGAGCTTCCATGACCTCACAGTTGTTGGGGTTTTTTTCTTCCTACTAAACGAACTACTCATTACAAGGTTTGTTTATTTTGCTTCCCTCATCAGAACTCTTAACTATTGGAATGTTCATAGGATATTGTCCTTAGCTGTCTTCTTTTCTGCTTAACCTCTTTCCCTAAGTGATTTTAAATAGTACCACAGCCTCACAGACTGATGAAATATCAAATTCATCTCTTTGACCCGGATCTCACCCCTAAGCTTTAAACTTGTATATTGAAATGCCTACCTGAAATGTCCATTTGGCTGTCTAATTTTTATTGCCTGTCCAACCCTAAATGCCTTCCCCATATCAGCAAATAGTACTATCATATATCCAGTTGCTCAGGCCAAAAAATACTTCCTTCTTGATTTTTTGTTTTACTCCATACCTCACATTCAGTCCATCAATAAGTCCAGTTAGCTGTACCTCCAAAATATGTCCTGAATCAAACCATTTATCACAGCATTTTCAGAGCTACAGCTGTAGTCTTCCATCTCTTACCTGGGGCAGTATACATGATTCCTAATGTCTCTTCCTCCATTCTTGCTTCCCAACAGACAAACCTTTCATGAGTAAAGCAAAGTAATCTTTCTGAATCAAACCACACCATCACTCTTCGGCTTCAGACTTACTTGACTTCCCATTACACTCAGTCTAAGCTTCTGACCATAGCTTATCTCCACTTTCCCATTCTTTCATTCTACTACCTTAGCCATACTGTTATTCTCTATCTCTGTCCCTCAAATATGGTTAAGATCATTCTCATGGTAAGATCCTTTGCACGTAGGCTCCTTGAGGGTAAGGGCTATCGTGCCCTAATTAATTATCACTATATCCCCACCTTCTACAACAATGCCTGGCACACAGTACATTCTTATTAAATATTTGGGGCCCAATAGATTGGCTGAGGCAGCTGAGGAGGAGCAGGAAGATTGGCTAAGTAGGGTTTCACTGTTTCCAAACACCAGCCAGTAGGAAGAGCAAGTGCAAAGGCCCAGACGTGAGGAAGGTCATGGCAAGTTAGTGGACTAAAAAGTTGAGAATGATCTGCGTGACTAGAGCACAGTGTTGAGATGGAAAAACAGAGACTAGTTTTTACTCCTAAAGCCATAATTAGTAGTTTGAATTTTTATTTCAAAAGCATTAAGAAGTTACTGAATAATTTTAAGCAAACAGTTATTTGATAAAGATTTGTATTTGAAAAAGATCATCTTGGCTGCAGTATAGCGCATAAATTGTAGAGAACTAAAGTCATCCTGTGAGACCTGTTAGGAAGTTATTGCAAAGTCCAGACCAAAAGTTAATGGTGCCCTCAGACTCCAAGAAGGGACTAGTAGTTGCCAAGGGTGAGGGGTGGGGGAGAGAGGGAGAAGGGGATTGAGGGGTATTACAATTGGCACACATGGGGGGATCATGGGGAAGACAGTGTAGCACAGAGAAGGCAAATAGTGACTCTGTGGCATCTTACTATACTGTTGGGCAGTGACTGCAATAGGGTATTGCGGGGGGACACAATAACATGGGTTAATGTTGTGAAACCTTCATAAGAGTGTATATCAATAATACCTTAATAAAAAAGAAAAGGGGGAAAAAAAGTTAATGGTGCCCTAAACCAAGGTCTTGGCATTGAAAAAAAAAAAGTTGATGGATTCAAGAGATAATTAGGAAATAATGATGTATCTGATATGAGGGGATAAATAAGAAGTCAGAAATGACCCCCAGGTTCCTGTCTTTAAAAAACACTGCAGTGATCCCATTCACTGAAATATAGACTGTAGGAAAGGAGCAGGTTTCAGTTGGGATGGGGGAGAGGAAGATGATACTTATTCAGTATAAGAATGCTGAGTTTAAATACACAGTTCCCCTTTGATCCATTGTGCAAATTTCCTTAAAATGGGTTACTTTGTGGTCATATATGTTCCCATAAATCTTAAGTTGTTTTTGTATCCATCTGATAATCTTGTCCTGAAGACAAAGGAATATTGATTTTAATATCTCAAAGTAAATTTTCTTGTATCTGTTTTCTATCACATGGATTAATTACCAGTGTAATTCCAGGATTATGTGAGGTACATTGGTACATTGAGTGAAAATTACTGGTTAAGAAAAACTACCGTCACTTTTTTTAATGAGTATATAAGTAATAATATTCATCTTATGCCCTAAAATAGCTGTCTCAACTCCCAAATCTTTCTTCCCCTTAATAAATGTTACCTATCAGCTAACTTTGAATGTCTCAGTTCCAGATTTCCAGAAGTAATCTGATCAGTTGACTCAGATATCCATTCCTGGTACATACAGTAAGCTAAGGCGAAGGGAACAGGCAGGCTCATAAAGACTTCAGAGCTGCCCCTTCCAGGCTCTGGAAATGACTGTTTTTCCAAGAACAGAGGAAAGGAAGAAATTGTTGACACCTTTTGTATAACTTATTAAAAGTTGGGATCTTACTGCTTGCTTTTTGCATTTAATGTGTCTTGAATTTCTTTTCCTCTTTTATTGAAATTAAGTGAGTTTTAATGGTATTTAGTAAGGAATTCAGTACAATTTAAAAATGATGACAAGTTATTGATATAGAGTCCAAAACCAAGATGCTGTGAGCTTCAGAGTTGTCTGTGCTATGGAAAAGTATCATTTAAATGGTTAAAATTAAGTATTAGGATAGGTAAACAGCATATACTAATTTTTAAACAATCCATATAAAATGAATCGGTAAAGGTAATTCTTATTGACTAGTTAAATTCTTTTTATGAGAATTTACTTGTTAAGATGAGGATTTTGCTTTGGTAAAGTGTTTGAGACAGATTAGATAGATGGAGTCCCTTCTATCTGCTCTTGCAGACTGTATTAAAAATCATAATGAAATGTTGTTGCTTTCATAATTCAAATAACCAGAACAAAATCAGGACCATGCTGTTTATCCTAGCAGGCCATAGTCCAGAGATTAAGAAGGAACAGAAAGAAATGAGAGTTTTTTCCTTCTTCTCTCCCTAGATGAATGTTTTAAATATATATGTTGTCATACACTGGTGTCGTACCTAAGATGTGTATTACATATTTTATGTAGCTCTTTTGATTTAGAATATGTACAAAGGCGTATTTGATTATTAATGTGAAAACATACTCGTTTGACATACAATGTAATAAATGGGAAAATCTCAGTATTAGCTTAATCATTATAGCCTAATTGTTTATTTACTCATGTGACTATGGATATGGCTGTTTAATCTATCCTTAACCATAGTGCTTCTGATGATTGGTTAAGTTTCAGAACTATTGCTGTAGATCAGTGGTTCTCAACCAAGGGCAGTTTGTTCCCTAGGGGACATTTGACAGTGTCTGTCAATTATGGTTGTCACAGTTGGGGGAGGTGGTACTACTAGTATCTCATAAGTAGAGGTGAAGGATGTTGCTAGACGTTCTGCAGTACGCCAGACAACTTCCCCCACTCCCAACACAGAAAATTGTCCCACCCAGAATGTCAGTAGTGCTGGGATTGAGAAACCCTGATCTGGATGTAGTAAGATGAAATTGTATGTCCCAAGCAAGTTATGTATGAGGTTTAGAATAAATTACTCTCTGTACAGTAGGTGTCACCCTAGTCCAGAGATTTCAGTTTATTGAGAGGACTTTCCATCATGTTATGTTCTTCTTCCTCAGATCCTGACAGTTTTACTGAAGTAACTAAAGACTGTGATGAAAATAAAGAAAATAAAACTCCAGAAGGATCTCAAGGAGAGGTTGATTGGCTCCAGCAGTATGATATGGAACGTGAAAGGGAAGAGCAAGAGCTTCAGCAGGCATTGGCTCAGAGCCTTCAGGAACAAGTAAGAGATATTTATACTGTTACTTTCTCCACACCTGTCTCTCCCAAGAAATAGAATAATAATAACTAAATATGTGTTTAGCATTACTATGTGTCAGGCATTAGTCCAGGTACAAAAAAATTTGTTTGGGGCTTTCTTAGTGGGTCTATAGCAGAAACATTGATAGTTTTTCTTTTTTTGAAAATCCAAATGTAACAAAATGTAATGTTGGTTATCTCCCATTACTGTAATTCATTGCATGCTAAAACAAGACAGGTTAAGAGAGCATGCCCAGTCCAACTTAATTTTTCAAGCTATCGAAACAGCCAGTATACCACTGTGGCTTTACCATTAATATATTAAGGCAATGTATTTGTTTTGTTTATTTCTCAAATATAAATCCTTTCCTGTGAATTAATTTGAACATTAAATTCTTTCTCTTTTTTTAAAGTTTAACGGCTTATTTTGGAAAAAAAATCAACATTAAATTCTTAGGAATATTATCTGAATATTGTCTAAAGTTTCAGATTTTAATTACAGACTAATATCTGCTCCTTTCTTTATGTAATAATCTATTCTTAATTTTTAGTTCCTTATGCTTATAGTTCCCAGAGCTGGTTGATTTGCACTGTTGCAGTCACCTCAGGTATCTGACTAAAAGGTGATGTTTTCATGGTTGCCTAATCCTATGCAGTCCAAGCCATGTCAGTAATAAAAACTTACCAAGACTCCCTAGAGTGAAAGCACAGTGTTTGCAAATAATTAGATTTAAAAAGCTCATTTTTCTAGAACAGTGGGTCTCAATCTTAACTGCACATTAATATTATCTGTGGAGCTTTAAAAAATAATGATGCCTGGGCTGCTCTGCCCCTCAGAAATTCTGATGTACTTGATCTGGAGTGTGGTCTGGGCATCTAGATTTCTTTTCTTTTTCTTTTTTTAAATAAGGGTTTTAAAACTCCTGCCATGATCCTAATGTGCAGCCAAGGTTGAGAACTGCTGCTTTAAAACCACTTCAGAACCAACTGTTCTATATCCTTTTTTTTTAATTATTATTTTTTTTTATTGAAGTATAGTTGGCAAACAACATTATTTAGTTTCAGGTGTACATCATAATGCTTCCATGATTATATGCATTATTAAATGCTCACCACAATAAGCATAGTTATTATACTTATTGTAATGTTATTACAGTATTATTGACTATATTCCCTATGCTGTATTTTTCATCCTGTGACTTATTTCTTTATTTTATGCCCATATATATATGGTCCATCCATGTTGTCAACAAATGGGATTTCTTTGTTTTTCATGGCTGAATAATATTCCATTGTCTATATCTACCACTTTGTCTTTATCCATTCATCTATTGACTCTATATCCTTTTATTTATAAGAAGTATCTCTCAAGCTGCCTTGTCATCAAGATGTATATGTCAAACTATTTTACAAGTAATGTATAGTAATCATTTGTTTTAAAAAACTTACTTCTAATATAAAAGACCCCATGGTCTGATAAAATCATATAGGTACAATTAAGAAACAATAGGTCCTTTATGAGAGAAATGCAAATTAAAACCACAATGAGATATCACTTCATACCAGTTAGGATGGCCAACATCCAAAAGACAAACAACAGTAAATGTTGGCAAGGATGTGGAGAAAGAGGAACCCTCCTATACTGCTGGTGGGAATGTAAATTAGTTCAACCATTGTGGAAAGCAGTATGGAGGTTCCTCAAAAAACTAAAAATAGCAATACCATTTGACCCAGGAAATCCACTCCTAGGAATTTACCCTAAGAATGCAGCAGCCCAGTTTGAAAAAAACAGATGCACGCCTATGTTTATCGCAGCACTATTTACAATGGCCAAGAAAGGGAAGCAACCTAAGTGTCCATCAGTAGATAAATGGATAAAGAAGATGTGGTACATATACACAATGAATATTATTCAGCCATAAGAAGAAAATAAATTCTACCATTTGCAACAACATAGATGGAGCTAGAGGGTATTTTGCTCAGTGAAATAAGCCAGACGGAAAAAGACAAGTATCAAATGATTTCACTCATAGGTGGATAGGTGGAGTATAAGAACAAAGAAAAATACTGAAGGAACAAAACAGCAGCAGACTCACAGATCCCAAGAATGGACTAACAGTTACCAAAGGGAAAGGGACTGGGGAGGATGGGTAGGAAGGGAGGGACAAGGGGGGGAAAGGGGCATTACGATTAGCAGACATAATTTAGGGGGTGGGGGGCACGGGGAAGGCTGTACAACACAGAGAAGACAGTAGTGATTCTACAGCATCTTACTACGCTGATGGACAGTGACTGTAATGGGGTATGTGGTGGGGACTTGATGGGGGAAGTCTAGTAACCATAATGTCACTATTGTAATTATAGATTAATGATACCAAAATAAAATAAAAAGAAACAATAGGTCCTTAAAGTATAGACTGTACATATCTCTTCACAACTCCACATTGAGGAGCATGTGGGTAACTTCAGATTGGCCATGGTGGAAGTTTTTATAACTTGAAAATGGGCAAATGCTATAAATAAGGAGGAAAAAAAAGAACAGTTTGCTAAGTATCTGCTATGTGCCAGGTATTTCATACATATAAGAGGAAAGGGAATTACATCATAATAGCACATTGAATAGCTTTCAGTTGGTAAGCCAAATGTCACTGACTCAAGGAGATAGCATATAAGCCTTTTTAACCCCCAAGGTTGTGTTTCACTAGGACACTGTTAGAAAAAGTAAAGAACTCCACATCCCTCAAAAGGTCAAATTCCAGACATCCATGATATTATAGAAAATATTTTTGACAGCTACTTCCAGAGCAGCTGATTAAGTAAGTTTGATCAATACCTCTTCAAATACCTTCCTTTTGTTCCTTTAGGAGGCCTGGGAACAGAAAGAAGATGACGACCTCAAAAGAGCTACGGAGTTAAGTCTTCAAGGTGAGGGAATTACATTTTTTTAAATGGTGAAATATCAAACATTGAAGAGCATAAAACTGTGTCTGTTATTTTTAATAATGTAGCAAATTTGAACACCTCTCACGTAAAAAGAATCTTGGCAGTTATTTGTATCCCCCCTCTGTCTCCCCTCTCTCCTAGAGGAAACCATTGTTCTAACATTCATATTCATCATTAGCTTGCATGTTCTTTTTAAATAAGTTTACTATCTATATCCATATCACTAAACAATGTACTTTTTTAATTTAAAAAAAATTCAGAAGCAAGGGCATTCTATCTGGTAGTCCATCTGTGTGGAAGAGCAGTATTGCCACTGGTGGGACGCCTAGTAGGTAATGTGACTTGTTTCCCCTTGCATTCACATGAGCTCACTCTGGGGAAGTCAGTGGGCAAATTGGGGAGTGAGTATTTGGAAACATGGTGTTCACCATAGTCATGGCATTTGGCAGAACTAATGTAAAGACCAGGTGCTGGAAGTCCACAGGGACATGTGGTGACAGGAAGTGGGTTAACTATATTTTCTGTCTCTAAGATCACCCTGATCTGGTTCGGGCTCTCAGAGATAGATGAAAGCAGAACACTTTGGTGGTATGAAATGAGTGTTCTAGGCTGATGGTAGACACAAGGGCATCGAGGTGAGAGCAGGAATTTCACTGGCACATGGTTGAAAACTATTAAAAATAACAAACAATTCAAGCTAGGTTCACCCAGGCATTCTGTCCTCAAATTAAAAAGATGGTATAGTAGTGGTAGTGATGACTGTCTCAAGTCATTGCTCCAGTCTACTGCGTGCCCTCTACATGCATGTACAGATATCCTGAGAGCTCTCTAACCATTCTCTTGGGGATTCCTTCTGATTCTCTCCTTTGTTTGAATCTCCTATTTTCTGTATTTCCTGCCTCCTCATTTTTGATCTACCTGAACTTTGATGGAGAAAATCCCAGTGGTTCTCTTGAAAAAGAGGGACTTAGATGTTATGGAGACCTTGCAAGTTTCATTATAGCCTAGTATTTGATTGACAGTTTGTCTGAATATAGAATGCAGGTTTGCAATCATTATGAAAGCTTTGTTTCCCCCAACTTCATGCTAATGGGCAATTGTAAAAGTCTTGTTTGCAGGGTTGCTGTATTATAAAGTCTAAAGCTATGCTTTATCCTGATGTCACCTTTTTTCTCTAAAAGTGTATTATCTTCTCTTTGTTGCTAGTGTGATGAAGTTTCACAGTGCCTTGATGTGGGTCTGTTTCATCATTTTGCTGGACACTTAGTGGATTATTTTAATCTAGAAACTGTCCTTCAAGTCTAAAAAATGTTCACTGATTTCCTCCTTTTCACTTTGTTTTCTCTTTTTGAAACTCCTCTTAGACCTCTTGGTCTGGTCCTCTTAAATTTCTCATCTCCAGTTTTCCATCTTTTTGTCATTTTTCATACTTGCTGGGAAGTTTCTCCAATCTTATCTCCAACTCTGACCATTTTTTTGAGTAATTTATTTCAATTGTATTTCTAATTTTCAAGAACTAATTTGTTACATGATTGTTCCTTTTTTATAAGGTTTAAGGTTTTTATTATTTTGTTTATGGAGGTGGTACTGTCTCAATCCTCTGAGGATATTAAATATACTTCATTTGTTTGTTGATTTGAAGCTACTCCCTGAATGGATTCAGTTCCTCCAGATTGCTCTGTCCTGTGTGTTTATTATGGTCTTTATATTCTTTGTTAGAGGGTTTCCTCAGATGTCTAGTAATCCTTAGCTGTCAGCTCATTGAGAATAAGGAACTGAAATAGGTGATTGGAAGCTCTGAGCATATGAATAGCTGGGGCTTGTCAACTTTAAGTTTTACAAAACGGGACTGTTTGGGGGATAATGTTACTATTTTAGGCCTTTCTCTTGGGCTGATCAGATTCCTAAAGAAGAGTTTTCTAATCTCTAAAGGTAAAAGATGGAGCCACCAGAGTTCTGGCAGGCAGGTATAGGAAGGGATGGGAAGCAGCCTATACTCATCCTTCAACATTCATCCTTCAACATGTAAACTGTTGCCTACTCATCTGTTTTCCGCATGGTGATCATGGCCTTCCCTGTGCCCAGCATCTCCCAGTCCAGTCTTGTCTTATGCTCTCCAGAGAATAGAGCTCCTGGCTTCTGTCATTGCCCAATAGCATGAAATGGGGGAAAGTAGATCTAGGAGTGTTTCTTAAACAGCTTTCATCTAATCCTTATTTTTATCCCCTTATTAGCCTCCAGTTTCAGAGGTACCTGTATCCCAAGTTGTATATTTTTGAAGATTCTGTGATATAAATTGGATTGTTCGCCATTTTTCCGTTACTGGCTTAGGATTTGGCTTTGGCTTTCGTGGGTCTGCTAACTCACCCACATGTCTACTTTTCAGTTTTCAGAATTTTGATGCTGTAGTCTCTTCCTGTTCTTCCCATTCGTGGCATTCATTTTAGTCTTGATTTTAGTGGAATTATATTTTAAAGCAATCAGAGCTATTTATTTACAAATGCTTCTGGGATTCTTTATTTAAAGCCTTTATTAAAGGTGGATTCTTCCCATGGAAAAACATTATTAGAGAAAAAGTGGATCTTGGATTTATTTGTTTTTTAGTGTATGTTAGGTGAAACTTAAAATAGTTACAGTCTGAATTTTCCTTATTTTTGTTAAATTTCAAAAAGTGATTTAATATTGAAGAAAACAAAAAGATAGTGACCCTTTTATGGTCTCTTTTCTGTGAGATAGTTCATAGTTGCTCCCATACTTCAAACATAATTTATATAACTTGGAATTTAGTGAAATTGAATTATCTGTAAAATTATATTCTCTTCAGTTTTATTCCTTTGTTATGAGAATTATATTCCCTTTCATATAAATATATTTAAAAGAAAAAGGAACATTTCTTTTATGGTTAACTGGTGCCTGAATTACCACTCCCCAGAGTGGGCTGGGTAAATTGAAAACCTAGTAATAGCATGCTTTATGTTTTCTTAGGATAATAAATGCATACCTCAAGCTATTTTTTTGTCTTCTTAACCATACCTCTCTGTGTCTAGTCCAAGAACTTTTACAAGACTTTGTCTTTTTGTTCTTCAGAGTTTAACAACTCTTTTCTGGATTCATTGGGTTCTGATGAGGACTCTGGAAATGAGGATATTTTAGATATGGAGTACACAGAAGCTGAAGCTGAGGAACTGAAAAGAAATGCTGAGGTGGGTGATGTTTTATTCCCTAAGTAGAACTGGTCAGATGGTCAGGACTATTCCTCCTGCTCTTTTATCATCAGAGGCCCCACTTTGCATGTTCTTTCTGCCCTTTGGCTGCCAGCAAATGGTTTCACTTTGTCTTGCCCTTTGCTCCTTATTTCATACACACAAGATTCAAAATAAAATGAAACAGAAACAGAAATATATCCTAATCACCTCATGTGCATGTTGAGTAATAACTTAAGGAACATAGCTCTCAAAGTCATATGTATATTAAATCACCTTTAGCTCTACCAAACTATGTTATCTTGAAAGTTAAATCCCAAAACTAATTGGTTGTTATGCAAGTTAAAACCATTGAATTGATTACATTAAACTAGCACATTAGAATCTTTTTCCCTTCTTCAATTTCTTTTTCATGTTTTCCAAATTTGTTATAATTTTAATTACCCAGGATCCTACTATCCTAACACAACTGCTGTTAGCATTTTGACATTCTTTTGTTATCTCTACCCCAAGTATGCTTTTAAAAAGTCATGGTATAAGTAGTTTTTTTGTACTGTTTGTTAAAGACAAATTACCTGTTAAGCATCTTATTTTTAATGGCTGTATTGTGTCCCCTCGAATGAACATGCTATTTATTTTATTTAATTTTGACATTGAGCATTTTTATGTTTCTGTTTTTTTCACTGTAATAAGTATTGCATTGAGGAACTGAATATGATTGTAACATTTTCTGTATTTAGGATTTTCTTTAAATAATCCCTAGAAGTAAATTGCTGTATCAAAGTTTGTGAACATTTTAATGGTTTCTGGCTTACATGCAGCTGTATTCCTTCCCAGCATTGTACCTTACTGTGCTGCCTGCAGTGTATGAATATCACTTTTCAATTGTTTTATTTTTCTACTAATAATGTTTTAATAGCATTTAAAAAAATATTTAAAATGTAAATCATGCATAATCTCAGTGACAACACAGCAACTCTTTTTTTTTCATTCTGTTTTCCATTATTTAAATGTTTACATACCTGTATTTATAGAACTATTGTTATATGCATTCATGTGGGTTTAAAAAACGAAGTTAACGTGTTGCTGACCCCATAACTTTTTTTTTATTAAGGTATCATTGATATACGTTCTTATGAAGGTTTCACAAGAAAATGTGGTTACTACATTCACCCTTTTATTATTGAGTGCCCCCCCCAATACCCCATTGCAGGCACTGTCCATCAGTATAGTAAGAGCCACAGAGTCCCTACTTCTCTTCTCTGTGCTACACTATATTCCCTGTGACCCCACACACACCATGTGCACTAATCATGATACCCCACGATCTCCTTCTCCCTCCCTACCCACCCTTGCACACCCCTCCCCTTTCGTAACCGCTAGTCCCTTCTTGGAGTCTGTGAGTCTTCTGCTATTTTGTTCCTTCAGTTTTGCTTCATTGTTATACTCCACAAATAAGGGAAGTCATTTGGTATTTGTCTTTCTCTGCCTGACTTACTCACTGAGTATAATACCCTCTATCTAGCCCCATCTATGTTGTTGCAAATGGTAGGATTTGTTTCTTTTTTACGGCTGAATAGTATTCCATTGTGTATATGTACCACATCTTCTTTACCCATTCATCTACTGATGGACACTTTGACCACATCATTTTTTTTTTTTTTAGGAGAGCCAGGGAGACTTTTATTGAGAGATACAGTGAGAGGACAGAGCTCCTGGCAGAGGGGACAAGAGAGCCCATAGTGGTGCATTGTCTAGGGGTTTTATAGGCAGTTGAGGATATTTGGGAATATGAAAAAAAAGTTTAGGGGTGTGGACTTGTTAAGTGGTCCCTGAATATTAAAAATTAACTTAACATAAGGAATTTCCTGCCTTGATTTCTTTTTGGGACCCGCATCCTGGTTTGGGAGCATATCAAAAGGCTGCCTGCCCAGCTCCCAAGGTGGGCTGAGGTATTGTCTGTAAAATCTTACTTGTTAAACCTCCTGGGTGTTAAAATGCAGTCTTACCTTTAAGGTGGAATCCTTCCTGCCCTTTACTATGCTGCCCACAGCTGGATCTGCATGCTAAATTAGTTGCCCAGTTTGCAAAATCACCTCATCAGATCTGAAGGAGGAAAGACAGCACATAGGCCTGAGCCTTTTAGCATACTAAAGTGAAACTTACACATGATTACAAATGATTAGCATAATAGAAACATGTGCTACTCTTCTTTATCTGGGGAATATTAACTGATCTCACTGAAGAATGACTCTAGAGCTTAATATTTAACACAGACTTTTGGTAGGGGGTTTCCTTGCAGGTAGTTACATTGCTCTGACTATAAATATCCTGCCTTGCTTTCTCCAGAGGCCCTCACCCTATTCTGTCTAAGCCCTGTCTCATTCCCCCCTCTACAGATAGAGACCGTAGCTGCTGCTAGGGGAAAGGGGCGAAACAGGTCTGGCTGCTTCATGCTGAGGGGGGGTGCTGTAAGGGGCACAGCTAGGTCTCTATCACTGATCAATCGAGGGGGCCTCAGAATATGGGTACTTCATCCTGGGTTTCATTTCTGTTAATATTTGCAGTTTTATGGCTTCTTGTGGTGGTTAGCATTGGGTTCCGTGAAATTGATGAAGTTAGGAGAGAGTTAGGAACGCCCCCTGCCTCATTCAGAGGCCAGGGCTGCCTGAAAAAGCAGGCTCCGAAGTTATCCCAGAGGAGCCCCCAAAGATGATGCCAGGGGGGTCTTCTTGTTTGTGGAGTCAAAGAATGAACTTAGCGAACAGTCAAGGTAGGAGAGCAAGGTACAGGCTTTTATTTAGAGATAAAGTGAAAGGACAGAGCTCCCAGCTCACGCCAGGAGGGGACAAGAGAGTCTCAGTCCCCCCCATAACTTTTAAAAATAAATAATACTATATTAAGATGCTCTACCACTAACCATGTAACTGTGATTGGGCCTGTTGTTCCAATTTTTCATAATTATAGATAATGCTACAGTAGATAATTTTATACACACACTCTTTTTTCTGAATTATTTTCTTTGAATAAATTATTAGTTGAGTACAGAATTCTTTGGTCTGGGGGTATGAACAGTACCAACTACTGAATTTTTTTATTGAGTCTGCATAAATTCTGAAATTTAGCCATGTCGATTTTGATAATAAATTAAAATGTAGTGGTTTGCTTTTATTCAAATGAAGAGTTAAAGTCATGCTCACTTCTGTTTTCCAGACAGGAAATCTTCCTCATTCTTATCGGCTCATTAGTGTTGTCAGTCACATTGGTAGCACTTCTTCTTCAGGTAAATGGACATCATGATTCACCATTTTATAAATGAAGTAGCCAGCATTTACTCCTTATCAGGTTGCTCTGGGCCTAGCTTTGTGAAGTGTAAGTTGAATACATCATGAAAAACTTAGAAATCTTCTTTTTGATCACAGTAAATGTCAAATGTGTTAATAGGTGCAACTGTTTTAATTTTTCTGCTCATAAATGATGCAGATGCCCCTAAAGAAAATTTATTTATCCAAAAAGTTGTCCCATTGTAGCATATTCGAATCTCCTGTAGACTTCTGTACATGTTCTTTGAATGGCTTTTAAAAACGTTGAGGGTAATGTGGATGGGGTGGCTGCTTGTATCTCATTCTGAAATTTCCTCTGAGAAAAATTCAGTGTTTTTTTTTAAATCTCAATTTTATTTAATTTCAGGTCATTACATTAGTGATGTGTATGACATTAAGAAGCAGGCATGGTTTACTTATAATGACCTAGAGGTATCTAAAATTCAAGAGGCTTCTGTGCAGACTGATCGGGATCGGAGTGGTTATATCTTCTTTTACATGCACAAGTAAGAAACTTTGCCAGATCTGAAGCCAGGGCTAAAAATCACCCAAACTCTTTCTTTTTCCGTTAAGAGTTAAAATGTTCTCATCACATATTGATTGACAATTTTTGGGTTTTGTTATCTTAGCTTAGTGCTCATATCAGTATTTCCTTAAAAATGCAGAGTATTTTCTCTCTTAACTCAGCATCATTAATTACTTATCACATAGTAACATCTGTGTGAGGAACTAAAGACTCTTACACTAGAAGCTGTTCTATTTTAAATCATTTTGTTCTGCCAGTTACATCAGCTAGGAGATCTGAGTTATGTGGAGGAAACTATGTCACATTCTCACCAGAGCTAGCCATTGCTGTCACTGTTCCCCTCCTGAGTATTCTCAGAAATCGGCACTTGGGTTAAGATGGTGATCAAATGAATGAGCTGCTTATTTAATAAATTGAGGCACCAAATGGGATCCTGCAGGCTTCATCAGTATCCTTTTTTGCCTATCCTTTGGCTTTGCTCACTAAACTTCCTGTTTTATTTTTGTTTTGTTTTAAGGGAGATCTTTGATGAGCTGCTGGAAACAGAAAGGAACTCTCAGGCACTTAGCCTAGAAGTGGGGAAGACCACTCGTCTGGCTTCATGAGAAACAAATCCCCGGGTTGGCAGTGTGCACTGCGTATTTTCCTTTACTGCTGCCCGCTCACCTTTTCTCTGCCAGAGGAGAATTTGGAATTCTACTTGATGCGGGAGCAACAAACAGCTCAGGGCCAAGCAAAAGATGAAAATTGCAGTTATGCGGAATGTTCCAAGCTGATTGTTTTATGGACACTTCGGTCTCACATCTGTAGCTGATTATCCTCTTTTCCTCCTACAAGAGTGGCACTTCCTTTGTCTTAGGAATACGTGTTGTAAATATATATACATATGTACATACACACACATACATGTGGAATGAATGGAGCCTTAAAGAATTAGAATGAGCCACCAGAGTATGCCTGCTCAAAATTAATAGCACAGCAGTTTAGAGAAGAAGTGAAGTTATCAAAGAGTCGATTCACCTGAGAAATGGGTGAAGATTTACGTATCAGTTGGCATTTATCTTTTGTGTTCCTTGAGTAGTTTGACTCACGTGTAATGTTCCATTTGTGTTTCTTACTAGTAAAGTTCACTGGAAAGCCAGCTCTCAATGTTACACTAATGACAGTTTGTCCCCCTTGTGAAGAAGGGGCAGGGCATTCCTGCCACCTAACTTGGAGGACTTTTTTTAAAAGAATTACTTCATGGATTTGTAATGCTTCTGCTGTTTACTTGCAGTCCCAAGAAATGGATTGTTGGTGCTTTGGAATGTGTTGTGGTCCCACATTTGGTATTCATTGTACACTTTGTATTTTCTTTAAAGAGATTTCCTTCACACAGTACGTTCATTGTATATCATCTATATTATTATGGTGATGAAGATGGAATCTTTATTTTTTTCTTCTGTATCATTCTTCCATGGAGCATGCATTACCCTAACAGATTACAACCAAAACAAGAGGGAGGAGCAAGAATACTTAGGGATAAGAAAGAGTGCTAGTATCTCTGTCTCTCAAATACAGAGAAGTCAAGAGGAGTATTCCTGTGTTAAAGGTAAGATTTTGGACCACTAAAGCTAAAAGCCCTGCTGCCAGTGTGAAGTTAAGTATATGAGCTATAGGATAAAGTTTGAATTCATTTGCTGTTTGGTTTTGCCCTTAAGACAGGGTAGGAAATAAAATATGATTGGTTTAATCCCAAGAACTAAGAAATAACTAAGGTGCATAATATATTTATCTTACTTTTTAGGTGTTCTGAGTTGAGGCTAAATGGGGGTGCAACATTAAATGCTACATTAGTCCCTCAGCTGTATTTCATCAGCTTGTGAAATCACTTAAAGAAATGAGTTTGAAAGTAGAAGTCTGTTCCCAAAATGATTTGGTGAGCCCAGGGATCATTAGGATCACATATAGAGATAAGTGTAGCAAAATGAAACCTTTGATATTTTCTTTCTTGTTTTTTCTTGCTTTTATTATAAGCAAGGAGATACGCTCTTGATTCAGTTCTGAGGTAGGGACAAAACCATAGCAGGTTTTCATATCTTTTCTGGAAGATTGTCTTAAGATTGAGTTCTAGACCCACTCTTGGAACGTCAGTGTGTTCTGATTCCATGAACTATTCTGAAACTTTTAATATTTGAATCATAAATGGCTCCAGTACTTTTGTTTAACTACTGATGAAAGCTTTGCCTCCTACTTACCTACCTATTACTATAGTGAATGATCCAAATAGTGTGATGATAGAATATGCAGCAGTATAGAGCATGGGAAAATACTTGTTTTAAAAGTTACACCGTTTTAGATTTTGCTTTATTTCCACCATGGAGCCTCTTTTGTTTTGTTTTGTTTTTTAAATAACTGGTTTTCTCATAAATGAGTGGTGATCAAATTATTGAACTATTTATTCTCTTCTTGTGTTTGAGAGGTACTGTTAAAAATGAGTGGGAATGATTTGAAATGAGGGGTGCATTAGAGCATTAAAAAAAAAAACAAAAAATGCCATGAGCCTAGACCATGAAGGACCCTCAGGTGACCTGATTTTCATAGCTTGCGTGTATATGTGGTTTAGAAATACATGTGGCTTAGAAACCTAATTTGATTTAATCCTCATGTCTGGGCAGGACTTGTTAGTTAAAAATAGGTTATTGGGGTAGATGAGTTAACTCTCTGTTTATAGGCTTGCAAGTTTGGGACTGAATTGTCCTCAAAATCCACTGCTGTGGCCTGGCCAGCCTTCCCTCTCCCTCTACTACGTGATCTCTCATCACTTTCACTGCAGTTCCTTTCTCATTTTGGTTCGGAGAAGGGTTCATAACTATAGACGGAGATTTCAGCTGGCCATGGTTATGGGGTTTGTTGTGTTTTTGAGCCGGCTGTATATATTTTTAAGTTGTAAGCAGACAGTATATTGTTTTTTTTTTTGCAGTGTGATCAGTTTGCTTAGATTGGGCGGAGGGTGTTGGGGCCAGGAAGGGACAAGTTAGATAGCAACAGAGTGCTTAGTCCTGGGCAGCCTGCACAATAACTATAAACCTTCCCATTGAAAATGCCAAATGTGGTTACACTACTTTAAGTGACATGTAATTGGAACTTGACAGCACTTGCTCTGCACACAACTGATCTTAATTGGAATTTTTTGGAAGGGAAAACTAACCTAATTTCAAACTTAATAAATTGTTGTTAAGCACCTGAGATTATGGAGAATTGGAAAGTTGCCTGTAGCCAGATGCTGTTAGCACTTTATTAGCCATGACTATAATTTCAGCTATGAGAAGATAACCTGTTTCGTAGGGAATATATTTGTGTGTACACAGCCACAAGTTTGGTCTCAGCAGAATAGAATAAGAGGCAAATCCATGAATTGTTCTATTTATATTTTGATTCCAAGAGTTAATTGTTTACTTGCCATGGTCTGTTAATTTCAGGCCTAACTTAATGGCTCAATAACAAATATAACAACAGTAAATGTGTTTACATTTTAAGAAGTATGCAGTGTGATAGTACAGATCAGTTAACTATCTCTGGGAGGCAAATGTTAGACTACAGATTTCTATTCTCTCTTGTATCAAGTGTACAATTCTTACAAAAGAGAAGCTTTAAGAATTTGAACCTTCAGCAAGTGAATTCATGAATTTACTTATTTTTCCATACTGCAGTTACCATTATGTAACTTTATAAATACAGCTCTACACCTGCATAGCTACAAATATAGTTGTATAATGAAAAATATTTGGAAATGCTTAAATTAAAGAGATTCCTGGCAGTGACTCTATACAGTTGAGTATTATAAGTGTAAAAAAGAAAAAAAAAAAGGCATGGTGAGGGGATTGGAAACAGAAAAGGTAGTTTGGAAACTCATTTGTGATCTACTAAAGAGATTATATTAAAACAAATACTACCCTTTTTCTTCTCTCTCCTCTGAAATGACTGCAATCAATGCTTAGTCATCCAGCCTTTTTTTTTTCTGTTTAATTAACCTCCGTTTAAGTGGTCTTTTGTTTTAAATTCGGAAAACAGAGCTAGCTTTCCCAGTACATGTCGGTCTTGTATATATGGAGATTTTTTGAAAAATCGCCAACAACCCAGTACCGGACGCAAGTCTCAGAAAAGTGTCTCCCCAACTACGTCCTTTTCCTCCTTCCCATTGTGTTTTACACTGATGATGCTCTTAAGTTTACAAAAACTAAACAGTTTCTGCCCTTTAACACCCTTCTAATGCATTACTTCAAAATTCTAATTTTGTCTCTGTTGATGTGTCTTATTAACATCTGAAAAATATATATATTTTATTGGAAAACTAGTCTGTTCACCTTGAGAGTTGTGACAATTCTTTTGCTGTGTCTCACCAGTCATTGACTCCCTCGTGGCATGCTCTGATTACGAGACTTCAGGCAGTCTCTTTCATTGTATCATATTTATATACAAAAACTTTTCCTTTCTGTGTGTACTGTATGTCTGAGATTTTGAAATTATTAACAAAAAGTGTGTCAGTATGAACATAGGCAGTTGATTTTAGTAACATTGGACCTAAAATACAGAGATTTGAAGTATAGGCATGTCCACTGGTGTAAGAATAGAGTGGATGAGGGTCTGGATCAGGACCCAAGTTCATTAGCTCGAATACCAAAACAGTGAAGAGACAGACCATACATGGTTTGTGCACACCTCTTGTCCCCAGGTTTCCCTCCCTCTGAGCTTTTCCTTTCATCCCCGACTTCTCTGGCCTGTTGTCAGTGTTGTTTATTTATGCTACAGAGGGGAAAACAGAGGTTTCCTACACTTTGCTTAATTGAGCCACTACCAGACTTGCTGGCAGCTTTGGCCGCATTTATGAGGTAATTTTCTTTGTGTTCAGAGTGACTGTTGATTCTGATTCTTTATATTGTTTTGTATGGAGCGGCACTTTATCTGTGTTTTAGCAGAACTGTTCCTCTATCCTTTACGGTTTTTCCTTGTTTTTGTTTCCTTTTTAAATTATGCATAGAGTTTTTTTGTGTGTATGAAATTAAAGCCTTTATTAACCTTGTGTTGTTTTGACGGTTATTTCTAAAAAGGACATAATTCTTCAGACAGTTGTGGAAGTTGTGAAAATTCCCTTCTGTTGGTCTTCTGACTTGGACATCCTGCAGCCTGTTGCACCTTAAAGGAAATGGAATGGTGCACCAGTGACCACGTTCCCACTGTGTTCATCCGAGGAGACTGTGAAGCTTTTTGGAGGTTCTGTATAGTAAATTCAGCATTGGCCTTAACAAAGCTCTTCCTTTGCCTTACTAAGAGTGCTGGAGAGGGGGTGCAGCAGCATTTGCATTTCATACTTTATTTTAGGCTTCAAGCTGAGACTCAGTAGATGTATTACTCTCACATTGTGAAACTTATGAAAATATGGACTATTCAACTCCAAGAAAGCCTCCCCTTTAATTTATCCCCTGATTAAGGCCGTGAGGGAAGTACATGTGAAAAGGCCAAAGCCATTACCCTGGGAAAGATATAAGGGTGCAAAATGGTTAAGCCCACCTGCCACATAAAAATTAGTCATGCCAGAGAAAAACCTAGGGAAGGTCCCTTAGCACTCCAATGTTCTGTGTAGTGTTTGGCAGCTCTCAGGGAAAGCTCTAGAACAGGTTGGTTGAACCTGATGAAACACCCCAGAGTGGAAACCATGTGACCACCTTGAGAGCTGAAGTTGGGCCCACAGGCTTCTCAGGCTCTTTCTGGAGGAATAGTATGTCACTAAACAAAAATGGCATAGCCACAGACGGCTGCTCACAGGTACAAGTAAATTTTCATGTCAGTTAGTTTAGGACTAATCGTAAAAGCAAAATGAAACTCCCCAAGTAAGGTAGGATACTGCTTTACAACCACAGCTACTCTTCTCAAAATAGTCCTTTTTCTTTCTTGAGGTTTTGTTGCTTCCATAGAGGCAGGGCAGAGAAGGCAGCGGGAGTCATCCCCAAGGCCTTGGTGAAATCCTCAACAGACAGGTGCTCCTAGGAGAGGGGCCAGAGGACAAAGGTCACATTCTTCCCCAAGCTTGGCTTTGATGAATCACATAGATGTGCATAGGAATTAAATGAAGAGCAAAAACAGGTTAACTGTCAAGAGAGCCGGGATAGGGATAGGGAGATGGGTGGCATTTTGAGGTCCAAGAGATTTAATCCCTGGATTGGGGACATAAATAAAAGCACAGTAACAACATGAGGGAGATTGAGCTCCTTTTGACCAAGGTCAAATGCACCCTTACTCTGAAATAAGAGTACATTTGATTTAGCTCAGTTAGGGAGTGGCTTCTCCTCAGATCTTAGTTTTCCTCTCTATAACGTGCGAGAAGTTTCTTCAAAGCCAATTTCTCCTGCTTTGTAATGCTTTTATGGGTACAAAAATAATATTACACATGAAAGGGCATTGGAAACAATATCTCATTCACCCATCTTATCGAACAGTGAACCTACAGTTAGGGGATCCTTCTTTCCATAAGCTTGGCACAAAGCATAAACAGATGAGCCATAGAAGGGAGTCTACCGAAGTCTGCATATGTAAGATTTAAATTGCTGTTATCACAGGAGACACAGCTATCCTAACAAAAACCCATTACCCTTAGGAGACGCTTATCCTCCTCGGTCCTACCTTGCTTTGGATCTAGTTAGCAGGCTGGTCACAAGAGACGTAGGGCCTGTCCAAGGACAGAGCCAGCAGCAGCCTAACTTAGTGTACTGCTGTGGCACTTAAAAAGGCACTGAGGCCAATTTGAAGATTCCCATTTTCAGGCAACGAAGTTAAAGCTCAAGAGAGTTAAGGTCATCTGATTCCCATAAGTGCTCCCCTGCACCACACTGACCCCCATCTGATTCCCATAAGTGCTTCCCTGCACCACACTGACCCCCTTCCTTGAGTGACTGCAGGGATACTATGAGGGCTTGTCATCTTCCCCCACCCGAGGCCTGCACAGCACACTTGTGCTGACAGTTGACTGAATTTTACTATTACACATATCCTTGTCCCTCTTGGCTTACAGGTTTGTTGCTGGTTAAAAGGTAACATGTTAAACCTCATCAGTCTCTTATATGCCACTGTAAATGTATCTGCCGGACTTTTATGTAGGAGCAGGTTTTGCTGAGATGGTGGCAGGTGGCAGTAGAGGTACAAAGGAGGTAAGTGGGAAGACTCAAGAGAAGAAGCTAGGAAAGCCAAAGAACAAATTCAGAGTCTAATTTTGCCTAGCTATTTTGAGTGAAAAACAAAAATATTTGGATAACTGACTTTGTGCTGGCTTCTCCTGTGAATGATCTAAAAGATTAGAGGGAGTGATTCTCCCTTTTTACTCTTGGCTTGGAAATCATGACAGGGAGTCACCTTTCTAGGCCTTGGATATGTATCTTCAGCCATAAAATGAGGGGATTGCCTGAAATGACCTTTGCTCCCAGCTAACATGATATGACAGTGGAACTGTTTAAAGCAAGCTCAATACCTTGAAGGCATAATCAGGTAAGAAACCCAATTAAAATCGCCGTAAAACTTCCATCTCCTAGCCTTCATCTCTGCTTCCCCAGGCACCAGGAGGGGTCAGGGTTGGGGTGAGAGCAGTGAGTTTTCAATCTTAGACTGCTCTGCTTTATGGAGTTGCCCCAGAGAGTATTTTGTGGGCTCCCACAGAGAGTCCTGAATTGAATACCTTGGTAAACATCTATAGATGGATTTCAAGCTCAGGTGAATCTGATGCCCTGGTTCTCTAACCTGTCCTTAGATTTGCTTCCTGCCCCTGGGCATGCTTTCCTCAAGGCTTCTGGGAACTTCCTACTCCCCCAAGCAAGGAAGAAGGAGCAAATGAGCAGTCTGGGCACCAATGGATGGGGAAGGGCTGCCTACCCCAAACCTCTTTGTAGCACCACTCCACCGCTCTCACGTCCCTCAGCTGTGCCTACAGTGTCCTCAGTGTGCAAGTGGCTCCAGGTGCCCTCTCTGGCCCAGCCAGACTGGCTCCACAGCTTGGTTGAGACTTCTGGACTCTGACCCCCCAGGCTAGATAGCAGGAACTGCCCAGCCCAGTGGACTTGTATCTTTCCACTGGTCCTATTCATGAATGCTGTGTTTCTGCCAGCTGATTACCAGCCTCTCCCACGCCCACATCCGCCTCTGGTTTACTCACTAGTGCTCAAACAGATTACCCTCTTGCAACTGCCTGCAGGCAGATCCACCACCCCACTATTTACTGTCACTGACTCCCCTTCCAAGTTTGGAGCAGCCGGAGAGGTCTGAAGACCTCCCTCACTCTCCTTGGCATTGAACCCACAGCTCTCTGGCAAAAAATGTACATACTCCCGTGATTTTAAAAAATCAGCATCAGACAGCTGATTTTTAAAAAGGGATCTAAGACTTTAACTTAGACTGCCTCTACCATGATGGGGCTGTCTTGATTCTGTTTGTTCCATTCAAAATTAGCAATCCACTTTGCCTCCTGTCAGTCGCCTAGTTCAATAACATTGGGGCCTTCCCTTTTAGAAACTCATTGTGCCACATGATACAGTGGTAACAGTGGGACTCAGAAGACCTGGTTCTTGCTGACTTTGCTAGCAGCTAGTCATGTCACATCAGGGGTAGGTCACTTCCCCTCTCTGGGCCTCAGTTTTCTCAGATACAGAACAGACAATGATAATAACAGCTTGTATTTATATAGCATTTTCTATGTACCAGGGCAGGACAAATAATATTATTAATAAATAATAATATATTGGGATCACCCCAATACTACAGTGAGGATGCAGATGGGCAGATTTGGGAGGAGATGCATAAAAGGGGTCTCCAAAGTGGAGGGCAGGGTGCAAATACTCTGGGAACAATACACTTAGATATAAACCAGGCCCACACTCCTAACAGACAAAATACACATTCTTGGAGAAATCAGGCATCTCTCCTCTGTAGAGGCCTTAATTCATTTGTAAGACCTCTTTATGGTTTATTAGATACAGAGCATATTTTCTCTCTTCTCAAGACATCATCTAGCTAGATTTTCAGTCTGTTTGGGTCTTGTGAAATAGGAATGAATATTGGCGATGTTTTCAGCAAGCCCTTCTTGCTGTGCTCCCTCCCTTCAAGTAATCCATGTAGGCAGGCCTGCAGCTACCAGATGCTGATGAGATTCTGTCCTGGGGCTCCTGTGAACCTCTTGTCCACCAGACATGTATTTCACCCTGGATGTCCCCTGGGTGCCTCAAATAATATGGCTACCACTAAACTCATGGTTGTTCTCTAAGCCCATTCCAACCCAGCTTCATTTTTATCTCAGAGAATGACATAATTTTCCCCTCCCCCCCATGCCCACCATCTAGTCATTACCCAGTGTCATTGATTTTACCTCCTAAATATTCCTCTAGACCGTCTCCTTCCCTCCACCTCCCCAGCCACTGCCTATTTTAGGCCCCCACCTACCTCTCAGCCTGACTTGTGGGTGCTGCTTTTGCACCTTCCCATTTATTCTTCACTGAGCAGCTATAGTGATTTAGAAGTGTAAATCTGACTACCACTCCCATGCTTCAACCCTAAAGGCTCCCCTCCACCATTCCTAAGGTGGTAGGGAAGGCCCTGCTCAGGTGGGCCCCAGCTCTGCCCACCTCAGGCTCTGTGGCCCCCTTACCTTCTCATCTAACTCCACACAGTGCTTCCTCCCTGCCTCTGGGCTTCCTTTGTGCTGTCCCCTTCTCCAGGAATAACCTGATTTGCCTGAATAAATCCTGCTCACCTTTTAGAAGGAAATCCTCTGGCTAAACCAGGTTCCTTTTTGCAATACAGTTCATGGCACTTAGCCTTCATGAGACTTATTACTGAAATTAAGTAACAGTGTAACCAGGCTCCTCTGACAGCTCCTTCCCACAGAGATGAAACCTCACATAAAGGTAGAGAACAGGTCTGTTTTGTTCACCAGGGCGTCCCAGCACCTTGTCATCTGCTGGGTACAATCTAGGGGTCAACGACAAATGGACAAGCCGTATGGCTTCATCTTCTTCCTCGAGTCTGACCCACCTCCTTCCTGCTGGGGTCCACTCCCTGAGGGAGCTCGTCTGCGGGCTTGTTCACCAACTGCTCCAGGGGAAAGATGGGTAGAGGCCCAGAACTGAGGTTGCTGTTAGCATGGAACACATTCTGTTTAGAGCTTGTGACCTCCTAAGGATGAAAAGGAAACCAGTGGCTACTTCAGCTGATTTGTGGCTACCTCCCAGGCTTTCTCTGTGAACCAACACATCCTAGGGTACCACTTCAAGGAGCCTTCCTTGACACCGCCGCCATCCCAGGTCTCCCCACCGCAGACACACCACATTCCTCATAAAAACACAGCACATTGGATTGGACCCATAAGCTGAAGCTTGGTGGTCTGTATGCAACTAAAGCCAGCTGGCCCAAGGTGATTCTTTCATTTTGTGACTTATGAACTTGTCTATGGTTTCCCCTGGATGTTCAAGGTCAACTGTGGACATTTATGACCCTCTTTTTCTTATCTGTTGTGAAATTGTGATCCGTAAATTCACTCAGCCTTGACCTATCTGTGCTTTTTGCCTGCGCCATCAGTCTGCCAAGAAGGGCTTAGTGAGTGCCACGGAGTTCTCAGGATGTGGGTGGGGCCGAGGAGCGAGATATCCACTGACTGAAATTGCTCTTGTGTTCTAGATGCATTTCTGAAGCATCTACTTGATCTTGCTTCCACTGCAAACCTATGAACTTCTTGGAGGGAAGCCTTTGCTTTCATATTCCCATATCCCAGGTCAGGAGGTTAAATACATTTCTGTTAACTAACTGAAAGGTTGAATGATGTTGCAGTTTTTCTACCTGGAGAAGAGATCCTCAGGGGAAGGATAGTAGAGAAATCATTATTTCTTCAAGTATAGTCCATGGACTAACTGCATCAAGTTACCTGGGCCCTTTGTTAAAAACACGCATATCCTGGGTTTCAACCCAACTCTACAAACCAGAATTTTTGGGAATGGGACCTTGGAGTCTGAATTTTAGTAAGCCTTGCCAACCAATCCCCCAGCTCCCCATCATGCAGACTCTGTTATGCATGATAAAATTTGGGAACCATTTCTTTAGGGAATGGAGGCGACAAAACAGCTGGAGGCATTGAAGTTAAATTGCCCAAGAAGTGGAAGGACATGGTGACAAGGAAAGCATAGGGCCCTGACGTCTTCTCTCAAATGAGGCTGACCATTATCACCTGGCCCCCACAGAGATCAGCCCCGGCCCAGTACTCACAGCAGTGATCTGACCCCAGTCCCCAGAGTTTCCAAGTTCCGCCTTCAGGTCCTCATAGGATTTGGTGTTCTGCATATAAAGTGACAAATCAGACCTGGGTCTCAGCAGGGTTAATGAAAGACCATTTTTCTTCAGAAGCTGAAAGAAGGCTGGCCTAGAACCTGGGGGTGAGGAGGGGAAAACGGAGCTCAGCGGGAGGCTGGAAGAGGGGCCCTGATAAAAGAGGCTGGCTGGTGAAGATGAGCATGGAAAGGGCTGACAGGTCAGAAAAGGCTGGGGTAGGGGCTTATTTGTCCCCACTCGGCCTGATGTGGGGATGGAGGCCACCCCAAGAGGCCACAGCAGCCATAGCAGCTTGAGAACCTGCCTACACTGTGTAGGCTCAGAGGGTCTCAGGGGTCCTGGACCACTGGGGACTCCTTTCAGAGCCTCGAGGGGAAAGAGTAAAGGGAGTAGAAGGGGCCTGGGCTCCATGAGCAGCCCCATCACCATATCCCAGGGGCTGGCACCAAACATGCCACATTGTGAGCTCCATTTATGGTGCATGAATGAATGCATGCATGCATGAATGAATGAGTGAGTGAGTTTGAGAGAAGCCAGCACAGACTTGAAGTGAGGGAAAGGCTGCCAGAGTTGCTGACTTGAGACACAGATGTGAATTTAAGCTATGGCATCTAGATTTGCAGTCTTGAGGTTTGTTTGAATCCATCCTCAAGAGTAACGCAGCCCATTAAACACTGAAATTATTTGTTTAATGTTTTTGAGGAAATCTAAGTTCTCTGTTTCCCTAAACTCATTCATTGTGCCAACATAGCCCCCCAGTGCGACCAGGCCAGCACTCACTCTACTTTAGCCTCCCTCCTTCCTGCAGAAAACCCTCATGTTCAGGACCAGCCCTCGGCTTCTATCTGGGGTCAGTTTAGGAAAATTCTGTGTAAGTCTGATTCTGTGTTTCTGAGGAAAGGACCACATGCATGACCCTTTTTTCTTAGAATTTAGTGCCAGGGAGACATCTGTCTGTCCTTGAGAACTGACGCATTTCCTCTCATCTGGCATGAGGAACCACCAGTGGCATCCTGTAGAAGTCTCTGTGACAACAGAAGTATTCTTTTTCTGTGCTGTTCTATATGGGAGCCACTACCACTCATGGCCACTGGAGCACTTAAATTGTGACCACTGAAAAACTGAATCATTAATTCTACTTAATTTTAATTAATTGAAATTTAAATAGTCCACACAGCGCTTACCAGTGAGGTCCAACAGCTTGAAGCACATCTAATGCATGAAGGAGACACCAAGGCACAGTAATTGGCCTGGGTTTTTGATAGACTTCTCCTTCCCTCTCCCTCACCAGAGGGTTTGATGGTCTTCCTGCAGCCTTACTTTTTATTCTTAGCCACCTCAAGCCACTTTACAAGCATATGACAAGGAACAGAAAGGCCTGGGGGCCGCCGCCTGCCTTTGGGTGTGTCCTGAAGCAGCCACCTAGGGAAGGAAGTGCCCAGCTGAAAGGGATAGGCTGGGGCCACTCACACTCCACTTGAAGGGATCCCAAGCCAGGAACCAGCCTGTGAAGGTGGGGGGCTCGTGTCCCTGCTTCACCACAATGATGGGGGTCTCAGGGTCACGGCCGCTGGGGTGGGTCTTGAGGTATTCCTGCACCGTGGTGGCTGCAGCTTTCTTCTCATTCTCATTGGCATTCTTCCCAATCCAGAAGAAGACCTGCAGAGAATCCAGAACTTGGTCATCCTTCCTGGCCCACAGGACTCCACCCAGGTTCACCCAGGCTCAGCTGTAAAGCAGAGGAACCAAATGACTCCCCCATTGGTGCAGGCCCCATCTGGTCTTGACTTTGGGAAATAAACAGATTGGGAAGTTATTTTGCAAATGTGTGACTCCCAGCCTCTCCAGAGCCAAAGACCCTCAAAATACTCCTCTACCATGTGAAATAAATTTGGGAGAAGAGTGGCCTCCTGGCACATGCCTCTCCACCTGCCTTCTCTCTTAGCCTTCTATTTTTCATAATACCAATCCCAGTGAGATCACATATGGGACCTGTGAAAACGTCAAACCTTATCTCTCCCTGAAGCCAGGTGGCGGGAAGGACAGCCCCAGGCCTCAGGCCTACCTGGTCCCAGACATCTAACAGGAAAACATCATCCTCTTCCAAGTCATCCTGAGTGAAGTCAGGGATTTCTGTGGCCAGGAAGCGCCCTGTCTGGTTGGAGCATTCAAAGAGCCGGGGAGTGATGGCCATGTTTTCCTCCTGCAGTCTGCAGGATGAGAAAACAGTTTTGGCAGGAAGAAGGTGTGGGGAAAGAAGAATAGAGGACAAAGAACTCTGACATGAAAAGCCCATCTCCTAGGAAAATGCTCTTTCTTCTGATCATACAAAAGTTGCCCCCTCTTCCCAAGAGCCCAAGAGTGCTCCAAGGAGAAAGCCCCACTGCTTCTCCAGGACACGCATTCCAATGGCTCTTCATAGTCCTGCTGGAAAGTTTTTCTGATATCTTCCCTCCGTCCCTCCTGCTGTGCGTGCCCTTTTGCTTTAGAACTGGGGAATAGTTGATCATGGCGCTTCTTTAGAAAAAGCATTTGAAAGAGAGTTAAAGCTCGTACTCCTCAGCCTCTGGGTCTTCGGTCAGCATGTAAGGGCAGGGACTGATCAGACTCCGGCATCTTCTTCCTATTGCCCTGCCCCTCTTTTTGAGCTGTCTCCTCTGGCTGTGAACTCCCTTTGCCAAGAAAACACCCCACCAGGCCCTGGGGAACACCACAGTGAGAAGTGCAGACCGGCACTGTGCCCGAGAGGCTCCAAGGGCATGAGCTTCCCTTACTCATCTGGGAGCCCTGGGGCCCTGGCACACACTGTTCAATCCATGCCTGCTGCCAGCTCTGTCCCAGGGGTGTGGAGGTGCTGGGAAGCTCTCCAGCCTCACAAGGAGAGCTGGAGGCAGAGGGAGGGACCTCAGAGTTACCTCTTGCTGCTGGCATAGGGGGCCTTCCCACCCAGGGCCATCCAGAAGTTGGCTGGTTCCTGTCCTTCCACCACCACTTGCTTCTCCGTCCGGGAGATGGTGTCAGCAACTGTCTTGGCCATCTCCCGCTCATCCCCGCTGCAGCCCTGGGAAATGAGGGCATCGGCTGTGCTGGAGGAGACCATCTCCAGTGCCATGCCTACCATCCCCCCAGTCTGCCACATTCACTGGTCCAGAGCTCTTGGCTCTGAGGGTTCTCCTGGGTCAGGACCCCACGCACATGGCCAACACCGGGACAGTTCTCCCATCCTCTCCTCTGTCCTTGACACTCCAAAGAATGGCAGAGGAGACAAGAGTCAGCACCCTTCTTATGGGGCACAAAAGGGATCCAAGAGGCTGAGATAAACAGGGAGGCAGTGACAGGCACAGGCACACTGAAAGCCAAAGAAGACATGGACAGCCTGACACTGGGCTGACGGGTGGTTGGAGACAAACAGGAGAGACTGACTGAGACCTAGAGGAAGAGGATCTGAGGATGTCCAGGCCCAGAGCTGCGGAGGAGGGAGCTGGAGCAAGAGGCAGCTAGGGAACTGGAGAGCAGGACTGATGCGGCCAGAGGCTCCAACTGGACCCAGGTCTGCTCTCAGGCTGGGGGATCCCTGAGACCCACCTGGGGAGGGGGAGCTCCTAAGCCCTGCGCATACCTTCCCATACCACAGGTAGCAGCAGGATGGGGTCTTGAGGATGAAGACGTCATTGGAGTTGAGGAAGGAGGCCCGCGCTGGGACCTCCAAGGCTTTCGTGTTGTTTGTGTTGGATCCCTGTACTTGGAACAGCCGCGTGGAGGGCACAGGCTCCAGGTTGTTAGTCCGGGAGGTGCCTCCCTGCAGGTGTGGGAAGAAGGCAGGAAGAGAGGCAGGAGTCATTAATGCAGGTGATGAGGGCGTGGCGGGACCCAGAGAACAGAGGAAGAGGGGCTGGGGCAGGGTCTGCCTGCCCTCCAGGGCCCCATGCTGGTCACCAGATTAGTCTTTCCAGAACATGGCTTTGGTCATGGCCCCCCCCTGCTCAAACCCTTCGTTGGCTCCCCACTGCTTACAGACTAGAACCCAGCTCTTCAGCCCGGCCCTTGAAGGCCCCACATGATGAAGATACAAACTGCCTTTCCAGACTCACTCTCTGATACCTCCAGTCCCTCAGTTTAGCTTAGCCAGGCTTCCCACTGGGCCTTCTGGGTCCTGGCTGTGCCCCTATCATTGCCTGTCCTCATTTTATCTCCACTAAGCCCTTCAACTCTGACCCCAGGGCCAAGACCTCATCCAGATCCCCTTTCTACTATGATTTCTATGCCTATCCCCAGATGACTGTGTTCACACTCCCCTACGAACTCAATTTGTATTCCTGGCTTTTAGTCACCGTGCTTGAGCTGTTAGTTCGCTGTTCTCCCAGCAAGATGGTAAACAGCAATGTGTGGGGTCTCCAGGGCACTTTGCAGAGGGCTATGTACTTAGTAGGTGATCAATAAACAGACAATGGCTTAAGTGAATGCAGGAGATATTTCATGATGTGAGCACCAGAGCAGTTCAGGCAGGTCCATCCTTTAGGCAAATCTAGCCAAAGTAACACCCTTTTTTATGCAGTGGATCCAAGGATTTGGGGTGTAGAGACAAACTGTACTTGTACATGCTAAGTGCCCAATACATGTATGTTTTAAAGTACTGAATGGTTGTTTCTATTAGCCAGTTTCATTTACGCAATGAAGCCTCAAACAGTCCCCTCCTACAAAGAATGGGCTTCACCCACAGCCCTGCCCCCACCACATCCCCTTCCCCATCTCCTGGGATACCCAGCCCCTCAAGTGCAGTACTGCCAGGCTCCCCTGTCTAGCAGCCACACCTGGTAGACCACCATGCGTCCCTTGAAGATAGACATGAGGTGAGGTGGCTCCTTGCCCATTGGGACCCGGATCTGGACTGGCTCATTGTTGTACTTCTGGTCCAGAATGACAGCTTGATAGGCTGAGGCTGTGATTTCATCCTGGCTGGCTTGGCTGCCCTGGAAATGAGCAAGACAGAAGGGGTGGGACTGGGTCAGCCCCCAATTCTCACTCTGTCTCCAGCCTCAACAACTCTATCCCCAAATCTGACCTGGCTCCAAATTCAACCGTCTTCCCCACCAAAACCCACCTTGGACATGGCCTAAAACTCGACCTAACCCAGACCTCAGTTCTGACCCCAGCCCAACCCTGACCCTCCCGCAACCCCAGCCTTGACAATGGACTAGAGGTGCAAAACTTACTGTACCCTTTTGAGGAAATACCATGGCTACCACCCCACTGGAGGTGCCCAGTACCCAGGCACCTCCCTGCCCTCTCACATCTGGACACAGAAAGCAGGTGAAGGGGATGTGCAGGAAGCCATGGAAATTGGAAGGGAAACCCAGAGAAACCAGAGGGCAAAGGACTGTGAGTGGGGGTACTCAATGTCTGTGGGGTCCCCAGATAGAAAGGGGGTGAGCTCCCCATCACCAGAGGTATTCAACACAAGGGTGACTGCCATTTAGCAGGGGCATAGCAGAGAGGGAGCTGAGTTGGCTGTGCTCTGGGAGCAGAGTGGGGAAGGCTGACCTGCCAGATGTAGAGCAGGTAGTTCTGCTTTTCGCCGATGAGGTAGGTGTAGAGTAGCAGGTAGCAGTCACCCCCATAGAAGTGGCCTAGCCACTTGGAATCCACAGGCACCAGCTCTAGGTCCTCGATGCGCCACACCTGGGGCCAGCACCAGGCGGGTATGAGGTCCAGGACAGGCTCCAGCAACCCCTTCCCACCCAGCACAGACCTCTCTCTCCTCACCGTACCTGTACCTCCCCACTCCCGTCATCTACCATCTTCTTCTGGGCAGCCACCTGAGGCTGGACATGCATGGAAGTAGCATCAAACTTCACCTGTTCCACCTTGGCTGGAGTGAGGGGGGATTATGACACCAACTGTCACCAGCTGAGGGCCCCAGGTCCTCCCGACAGCCACGAGTGCTAGCTACAATTCTTAGACCCATTTTACAGATGAGGAACCCAAGGCCCAAGAGATTCAGTGGCTCACCCAGGGTCACACAGCTGAAGAGTGGCAGAGTTATAATGCAAAACTCAGTAAATATTGTCTGGTGGAAGACTGAAGCCTTCTAGCATCCAGAGAGAACCAATCCCATTCCAAATGAAAGGGTTGTTCTCAGCTCCCTTTTTGTGACAATTCTTCAGTTTACCCATGTCCCTTGGTGTCCCCACCCCATGTGGGGAGCCCAGAGCCAGGGTAAGCGTGCATATGAATGAGGAGGGTGGAAGGCAGGTGACCCCTGACCCCACTCCAGGTTCCCAGCCTTGGCCTGTCTCAGGCCAGCCCTCACCCACGGAGCCCACAGTGTGGGTTTTGCCCAGGCCTGAGGTCCTAGAGGGCACAGTCCACTTCTGAAAGAGCTGCTGAAAGATGGGTGACTCGGCCCCATCGTTTTGTACCTCTACCTGCGTTCTCGGTGGGTACTGCTTTGCTTTGATGAAGTTCTGGGAAGAGAAGGGGGTAGCTGGGCTGTGTCCTTCCCCAACCCCCAGCCCCAGTGGGAGCCAAAGCCTGGCTTTAACTCCAACCAGAGCCAACCACAAACCAACCCTAGTCCCAGGCCCAAATTTGAACCCAGTCCCATTCCCGATGCTGACCCCAACCCATCCCTGCTGGGGCTCCAATCCCAAACCAGACCCCAAACTTGGCACCACCTCCAGCCTTCCTCTGACCTCCACCCTGAGGCCAAATTTGACTCCAACTGTGACCCCTTCTCAATTCAACACTGACCCTCAGCTGCCATCTGCAACCTTAAACCCAACCCCCAGTTCAGTGCAGACCCCAAGCCAGCCAGGGTACCTGACTCTAGCCACAACGACCCCAAATCTGCCTTGCCCTGGCCCCCTGCTGACCCAATCCACTCTTGTAGGAAGGCCAGCCCCCTCTCCTTCCTGTCTCTGAACCGAGTTCAGGGTAGGAGCTCACTTCCTGAGGAGGCCCCAGGTTGCCTGCTGGTGCTGGTGGGCTCCCTGGCATGCAGATAATCCCAGGACAGCTACAGACCATTTGCCCAGAGTCTTCCCTGGCCCCTGCCTGGCACTAGGCTGGGGCTAAGCTCACTTCCCTCTCCCTGTGGAGGCTGTTTCTCTCCCCATTCCTGGCAGCTCTCCTCCTCCAGGACCCCATGCCCACCAGCGCCTGGCTCATGGCTTCCTTTCTCTCCTGGGCATTGGCATCCTTTCCCTTCCACACGTAGATCTTCAGGCCCCCCTGGTCCAGGATGTAACAGTCCTGGAGGCCGGAGAGACAGGCACAGGGTGAGAGCCAGGGTTAGGGAGCTGCAGGCACAAACACATCTCCCCTCCCACACCCCCCACAGCCCCTGACATTGCACCTGTTTGGGGGAGAGTGGGCAGGGTGCAGGGGATGGGAGTTGGGGCTGGGGGCCTCCAGACCCTCTCACCTCATGACTGAGCAGGTCTTGTGTAAGTGGCCGCGTGGCGACTTCTCTAACCACCAGCTTTCCCTCTGAGTCAGATACACTGCAGGACAAAGGAACAGCATGGGTGAGGGGGACCCCCTCAGCTGGGCCCCTGCCTCCAGGAAGTCCCCCAGTGCCCAGGAGGAGGCCAATCAGGCACTCACTGGTACAACTTGAGGCTGGCCTTGAGTGCGGGTTCCACCCCTGTGTCGGGCACCGCTGGCTTCAGCTCCCTCCGTTGGCCCAGGATGTGGTTCATGATGTCCATCAGCTGTGGCGATGCCTTCTCGTTCTCCCCATCCACCACGCCCACATAGGAACGCCCGCCCCGCTCCTGGTCTCGGATATCCTTGGCCAGGGTCATGCCCTGCAGGTGACCCATGAAGGCTGGTGGGGTCAGGGCAGCATTCACCACCCAAACCATGCCAGGAGAGCCCCGGGCCACCCTGCAGCAGCTGCAAGGGATAAGGCCCCTACTCTGCTGTTCCCCTTTGAGGCGGGACCAGACCTATAAGGTGCACGTAAGCAAACCAAGTAGAAATACTTTGGGAAAGCAGGTTTCCTCATTGGCAGGAGGGTGTTTTGGGTGGATTTATTGAGCCTTCAGTTTGATATTGTTTCAAATTTGTGATTTGACTTCATCATTTGGACAAGGGCTGAGCCCTGAAATCACAGTACTTAGTCTCTTTGTCCAAAGCATGCTCACACACACACGGGCGTATACATACAGCCTCACATGTGTGCACATGCAGATGCACACACACACAGCACAGTGAACACACACACAGGTGCTCACACACACCCTGGCTCCCTGTCCTCAGCCCGCCTTGTCCCCACTCCCTCTCCAGGCCAGCTCACCATCCCGGGGCCCTTGTGGACTGCTGAGGCCCAGATTTCTGTCTCCAGCCCAGCTCTCATCTATTCATCTCATTTCCATGATAACCCCATTTTAAGAGATCCAAAACGGAACTCCTGATTTTCTCCCCAAATCTGTTGCTCCTGATTTTTCCCATCCCAGAAAATGGGACTCCATCACCCCCATGATTGCTCAAGCACAGCGCTTTGAGTTCCATCTGCTCTACCCTCTCTCTGCACCCCCATCCAGCCCAGATGCTAGCCACTTCCTGGCCAATGGGCCAGGCACTCACTGACTCCTCCCTGATGGCTACAGGGACTCCATGTCCCCTTAGCCCCTCTACACCATTTCTCCACTCAGAAGTCACAGTGACCTTCAGGGGCCTCCTGGAGAACAAAACCCAATCCTCTCAGAAGCCTTCCCAGAGCCTCTTCACCCCTCACTTCTAGCTTATTCCCTATGTGTCTGTCTCCCCACAACTTGATGGCCAGTGGGAGCCAGAGCCAGGGCAGGGCTCTGCCCATTTCATTCACCACCGAATCCCCAGCGCTTGGCACAGTGTCTGCCACACAGCAGGGGCTCATTAAATCTCAGCGGATTAGCCACAAGTACACACTCATGAACTCCAACATGCACACCTCTCCCCACATGTGTCGAGACTCAGATGCACTTCAAACACACTGTCCAAGGCAGTCAGGGGAGAGAGGCCTGGGGAAGTGAGGGCCGGCCAGGGTGTGGGAAGCTTGACAGGGGGCAGGGCCAGGTGGGGGCGGGGCTGGCGCATGGGCGGGCTTTACCTTAAGTCTCTCCATGCGGTTACTCTCGGGTCCATTCCACTGGATGATAAGCTTTCCGAGGTCCAGGAGGAAAACATCCCCACGGTTGAAACTCTTCCAAGACATTTCCACCTAGAAAGCCATAGGGGAGGTGCAGACTCCATTCACACGCCGGCCATTTCTTCCCCACACCCACCCAGCTTCTCACCCTTCCTCACCCTCTGACCCCCACCCAGGCTGGGAGTGGGGAAAGGAGACCCTGCCCCAGGGCTCTGGTTGATGCCTACCTCTTTGGCCACCACGTTCCTCTTGCCCTTGACGTGTAACAGCCGCTGGATCTCGTAGGAGTTGGTCTCCACGTGCTTCATGCCAGAAGCCACACCCCCTTTCCGGATCCTGAGAAGAGAGATGAGCTGACCAGAGGGAGTGGTTGGGAGGTGTGACAGATCCTGGCTGCCTTGCTGCCACTGCGACCATCTGAGGGTTGGGGCTGGGACTAGGGTGATGCATGGGGCACCTTGGGTGCAAATTTTAAGGAGACACTCATTCTCAGGATCATGCAAGTGCAAGGTCAGTCTGTTGCCTACATGCACATGACATTCCTTGGCAGCAAGTGCCTCCTTAAAATTTGCCCCCTAGATGCCCCACTGACCTCACCCTTGTCCCTGCCCTGCTGAGAGACCTGCAAAGATGTGTGTGTGGCAATGTGGTAATGTAGAAGGACAGGACAGGACTCTCAGGACAGGGCAGTGGGAGTGAAGAAGAAAGCAGATGCTGTGGACTGAATTGTGTCCTCACCCAAACTCATATGTTGACATCCTAACCCCTAATGTGATGGTATTTGGAGATGGGGCCTTTGGGAAGTTATAAATTTAGATGAGGTTGAGATGAGGTCCTGAGGGTAGGGGCCTCATTGTGAGATTAACGCTGTTACAGGAAGAGACACCAGAGAGCTTGCTCACTTTCTCTACCAGGTGAGGACACAATGACGAAGGGGCCACCTGCAAGCCAGGAAGTAGGCTCTCACCAGCAATGGCATCAGCTAGCACCTTGACCTTGGGCTTCCCAACCTTCAGAACTGTGAGGAAGTTAACTTCTGTTGTTTAAGCCACTCAGTCTATGGTAGTTGTTAGAGCAACCCAAGCAGACAAACTCAGGAGAGTTGCCAACTCAGGTTCCCAAAGCTGCCATCTGCTGCCCTGAGTGTGGGAAGAAGAGGAGCAAGACAAAAGGGAGGGGTGGGGACTATGGCTAACTAGGGAGTTCCTGGTTGATCCTACTGATCAGTAGCAACTTGGTTCCTGACTACATATTTCATGGGAAAAGCCTGAAGGCCAGAACTTCAGATTCTTCAAGAAAAGCTGGAAATCTGGGTCTTTTGTGTGAAAAGTCTGCTTTAGAGAACAAAGGAACAGTCATTTGCCCATTGGCCAGGGAGAAGTCTTGATATGATGCCTGGGAAGGCCTCCTCTGGCACTGAGCTCTCCAGGACATTGAAATGGGGTCGATTTACGAAAAATTCATGGTATGAAGAGTTACAGGATTTTAGAACTCTGAGGTGGCCAAAGACACACTCAAGGGATGAAAGTCAAGGGCAGGGGTAGGGAAGAGGAAAGGAGAACAAAAATCACCAAAAGTCCAAAGTCCATCGTGGACCCTCCTCATGGGCTCCTCCCACAGCTTCAAGTTCCTTTCCCAGCACCAGCTGTGGCCCCCAGCCTCAGGTGCCCCTCCCCAGCCCTGGTCCCACTACCCAGCCTACACATGCCCCTCCTTACACAATGCCCTGCTTGAAGTAGCCTCGGAAGGCATCGCTCTCATTGCCCTGGACCTCCCGGTGCTGGACAGCCCGCCCCTTCAGGTAGTCATCCATCTGCGTGGTATAAATGGCAGCGGCGCCTTGCTCATCCTGGGACGAGGCCTGGCCAATCCAGTAGTGAATGTCATAGGACAGGTTGCTGCCCGTCTTGTGGATCTAGGGAGAGGGGGTATCCAGTGCACCTGAGGTCCTAGGCTTCCACAGCCCCCTCCTGGCCTCCCTACTTCGCAAGGTCTCCCACACATGGGGCCTGGGCCACAGGTTAGCTGGGCGTAGGAGAAGAACACAGGACTGGTGGCCAGGAGCCCTGAATTGTGGCCCCAGCTCTGCCACAGACTCTCTGAGACATGGGCAAGTGGCTTCCCCTCTGGGTCTTGCTCATCTCTCCTTGGAAATAACTTGGTTGGGTATGACAGCATTTTCCAAAAGATGTGCATGGACTGTCAGAGGTCTGTGAGGTGATTAGGTGAAACACAAATGTATATATGAAACATGTAAATATTTTATAGCTACTGTCTACTTGCAACATGGGGCACTGCTTTCCATTTATGGGAAAGATAGAGTTATGTTTTTAAATAAATAGATTTCAATTTTAAAAGTGAGTCAATATAAGGAAAATACAAATGCATTAATAGTACAGGATGTGACAAAAGCCAAGAAAATGATGTGTCGATGACTATGGATTTTGGAAATGTGGACTCGAGGCAGGGAGACATCCAAAAGCTCAGAAGGTCCCCCAAGACCATAAATCCACAGATCACCTCAGCTGGGAGCTCAGTGGCCCAGGGCAGCAAGAGCTCCTTGTATCTCTGTCATGACCCTGCAGAGCTACCCAGGGCTGGGCCTCTGGGCACACCCAGCGAGTTCTGTCCGCCGGTGAAGCCAGGCAGCTCTCCCATATCCTCCAGCCTCACGTGTCCTCCCTGATGCCACAGGCTGCTTTGCTGTCCGCTCAGCCCCTTCCCCTGTGCGTCCCCCACTCACAGCCAGGACTACGTAGCAGTCACCATCGAAGAAGCTGCCCAAGGCGCTGGAAGGGACAGGCACCATCTGCATGGCCTGGGGAGAGAAAGGGGATCGGGAGCTGCCCTGGGTCCCCCAGATGCCCAGCTTCCCTGCCCACCTTAACCTCTGGGAGAGCTGGGAGAGGCAGAGAACTGGGAGGAGGAGGGACTGAGGACAGGAGAAGGGAAAGGAGCAGGGAATGTGGCTGGTGCCTGAGGAGAGGGCAGGGTGGCCCATGGGGACAGGAAAGCAGGGCAGGACTGGAGGACAGTGAGAATCCCAGGCCTCAGTCCATTCCATCCCCTGACATCCGGCAGGCCTCACCTCGATCCTCCATATCTGCACCCCCGGTGTGGTGATGTTGAGGGAGCCTTTGACTTGGGAGCTCAGTTTGGTCATGGTGATGAGCCTGGGCAGGAGTGGATGTGGGAGCAACGACTGAGGAGCTGGGAGCACCCCGGGTTTCTGGTGCTGCTCTTCCAGCCCAGCCCTGGAGAGCTCCCAGCAATGCCTGGAGGCCAGGGCTCAGGGACCTGAGGAAGGGAGGGGTTGGCTCCCCTTCCTGGGCCCAGATTGGCAAGGGCCCAGCCTCCAGCCTTCCCACCCCACTCTGATCTTGTCACCTTCTAGTTCAAAAACCTTCCTGACTCCCTGTCATTTACTGAATAAAGCCCCCACTCCTTAGCCTCCCACTCAAGGCCCTTGTTTACTTGCCCCAAACACGTTTTTCTTTTTGAAATGTATTTTAATCAAAGCTATGCTTGGTTAAAAAATGATCACACAGAGTTTTGTTTTGTTTTTTTTTAAAGAAAGTAAAAAATAAATAAGAGCTGAAAAGTGTATGCACCCGAAAGAATTGAAAAACAGGTGTTCAAACAAAAACTTGTTTGTGAAGTTCATAGCAGGTCTATTCACAATAGCTGAAAGGTGGAAACAACCCAAATGTCTATCAATAGATGAAAGGATGCACAAAAGGTGGTGTATACATACGATGGAATATTACTCAGCCATAAAAAGGAGTGAAGCACTGCAGCGTAGATGAACCTTGAATATATTATGCTCAGTGAAAGAAGCCAAACACAAACGGCCATGTATTGTATGATTCTGTTTGTATGAAATACCTGGAATAGGCAAATCTGTAGAGACAGCCGACAAATTAGTGGTTGTCAGAGCATGAGGGGAGGAGCAAACAGGGAGTGACAGCTAGTGGGAATGGAGTTTCCATTCTGGGTGATAAAAATTCTGCAACTAGGTAGTGGTGATGGTTGTGCAACACTGTGAATGTACCAAATGCCACCAAATTGTATGCTTTAGTTTAAAATGGTAAATCTTATGTCTATTTTACCACAATAAAAAAAAAAGAGTATGCAGCTGTTTCCTGTTCCTTCCTAGCTACCCCCAAACACCCCTCAGTTACTGTCCTAGTGGCCCACAAGATGTATAACCCATGAGGGTGGGGCCATGCTTTTTTGTTCAGTACTGAATTTCTAGCATCTAGTGCTGGCACTTTGCTGAGTGGGTAGATAGACGGATGGGTGACTGAGTAGATTAATGGATGGATGAGTGTATGTACGTAAGTATGTATGGATGGATGGGTGAGTGGACAGATGACTAGATGTATGTATGTATGTATGATGTATGGATGTATGGATGGATGGATGGGTGGGTGAGTGGATGGATGGGTAGTTGTATGTATGTATGTATGTATGTATGACAAGTGAATTTTCCCAATGTGAACCACCTTCCACCCACTGTTCTAGAAGAAACAGCCCCTCCCCAAATTTCTTTTATGGTATCTTTTATGCCACTTTCTGTTTTGACCTGTAACTGTGTTCTCCACTCCAGCTGCTCATCAGAATCACCTAGGGAACTTTTAAACAATACTGATGCTCCAGCGCTCAGGATGTATCCCTAGAGATTCTGATTTAATTAAGACAGAGTGGGGCCCAGGCTTGGGTACTTTATTATCTATGTTTTGGGAGACAGGGCATGAAAGCTTTTAAAACTCCTTAGTGATTCTGATATAAGCCAGGGCAGAGAACCACCTGCCCCCAGTTATTCTTGTCCCTCATTTCCTATCCCTTCCCACCAAGCCTACCACCCAGCCTGGCATGAAGTCACTCTCCATAAATGCTCCTTGAACTGATGAACAATGAATGAAGGCTCATGTGGCCCCCAGGTATCAGGCCTCCTTGTGCTGACACTTGGAATCTCTCTATCTAATCTCTCCTTGCACCTTGACTGAGTCACCTCTTGGAACAATGAGCTGGCCTTTTACTACTTGGGAACTCCCTCTTCTGAGTTCTGAGCAGTGACTCTTCTCCCTGGCATTCTGGAGTTTGGGGGCCAAAGTCTCCTTGCCCAGCCTCTGATTAGTGGCCCTTCCAGGAGATCAGGGCCACCTGCTGACTGCCAGCACTCCACTTATAGGAGCCCCTTGTGCCTGGATCCTGTCTGATGCCCCTGTTGGCCATGGAATCCTCCATGAAGTGGTTCTCAACCCATAAAGACCCCAGGGCTCCCAGACTCCTGGTTCAGTAGAACCACTTTGGGTACAAAGGAGGAAAATATTTTTTGTCTTATTTCAATCACCACCTTTGTCTACAACCCCCTTTCTCCAAGAAAGACTCTTTGATGCTCACTAGCTGTATGAACATGGACCTCTTTCGTCATCTATGAGGTGGGTGGCGGAGGGGAGTCAAGTAGATAATCTGTAAAGTCCCTTCAAGTGCTCTGATTCTGGGAGTGCACAAGAGGACTAGAGTTCAGATGGAAGGAAGTGTTGCTTGCCTATCAGAGTGGAGAGGCAGGGGAGCAGGGGCTTGAAAAAGCTAGTACTCCCCCTCCCTAGGGAGATACCAGGATTGGGGACCTCCAGAAGCCTAAACAGGGAAGGGTAGACTCCTCAGGGCCATGGATGGGCAAGGGGATTCTCGGGAGGGTGGCTCTAAGAGGCGTATTCCACTCCCAGGGTATCCACAGGGATACCCGCCAAGTGCTCCTGCCCCATCCATGTTGGCTTCTGCCCCACCCTGGTGGGGTCTCCCCACCCCTACAGAGCCTTCCTGTGTCTCCTGAACTGGTGGGAGGAATGTGAGCCCCTCGCCCCACCACTGCCAACAGTAGGGTCCCCAGTTTAAATATGTACTGTCTTCTCCCTCAACCTGAATTCACTGGCTCTCCCTCACCGCTGATCCCCTCCCTTCTCCGATCCCAACTTGAGGAAGGGCACCATTACCCCAGTTCTCCAAGTCAGCCACTTGTGCAACACCCCACCCTCCGGCCTTGCTGTCTCTCTGAACAGCTCTCCATCCTGCCCCCTCATCTCCCACCTGCTTGCACATTACCTTCTAGCAATGCCAAACTGCCCACTTGCTGTGCCCCCCACCAAGTCCTTGCTCCTGTGGTTCCCTTTATGAGATGCCCTCCCACGTTTCTTCACTGGGCTAACACTCCCATGTTCTTCTAGACTCAACTCAGGTCTCATTTCCTCAAGGAAACCATCCCAGAACCCTCGGGCTAGACTAGGGGGTTCTTCTTGGGGGCCCCAAAGCATCTAGACCTAGTCCTCTCTTGGCCCTCTAAGTACATGATGACAAAATGATCTGTTTATCAGTCTGAGGCAACCCCCCCCTCCAAATGGGACCTAGCCATCTGTCTGTGTGGCCCCCAGCTCCCAGCCTGCAGTCAGGGCTCAATAAGTATTCATGAAGCTGAAAGGCTAAAGCGTGGAATGGAGGGGATGGACCTTCTTGGAGCCCTGGAGGGAGTTAGGGTTCCTGCTCCCCCGAGGGCCTATCTTTCCTTTCTTAACTGCTGCTCTGTTGTCTTTGGGTTTGGACTCCAGAGAGCCCTGGGGTGCTGTCACTGCTCTCTGCCCAGTCATGCATTCAGAGCTGCACAGGGATGTGGCAGTCTCTGAAACAAAGGACACCCCTCCCCCACCCCCGGCTCCCACGGGCCCCTGACAGCAGTGGGTGAGCACGAGCCAGTGGCCCAGCCTGCAGACTCTGCCCGCGGCCCACCTGAGATGCCTGAGTAAGTCTACTGGGACGGGAGTGGTCAGTGTGTACCAAGTCCTTGGTCTGGACTTGGCTCCCACCTCCCCTACCCACCCCCCATTTCAGCTGAACGGAGCTGTAGTGGCTGGTGAGGCCAAGGGGATGGGTCCCCGTGGAGGGGTGAGGGGCAGAGGTGCATGCTAGGGCAGCCGAGCGTAGACCAGGGCCAAAGGGCCCCGACACCACCAGCCCCTGCCTCTGCCTTGCCCATTCAACCTCTGATGGCTGTTGCTCACACCCCAGAAAGGAGAGCTCTGAGTTCCCAGGCACATCAGACGAATGGCAGCACAAAGAAGGAAACCTCTTCAGGTGAGGAAGAAATGGGCAAAGAGATGTGGGGAGGGGAGGGAGGTCATTGTGACCAACTAGTCTTGGTTTGTCTGGAACTATGCAAGTCTTAAATCTAGAAGTCCTGTGTCTGCAGATGGTCCTGGGCCCAGGCCAAGGGGATGGCTGGTGCCCAGTGGGGGGCGGCCGGGCAGCAGGTGAGGTCTGAAAGAGAGCTCGTCTGCACTGGGGCCTGGGCAGCTCCTTCCCTGGAGGCCCTGGAAGCCAGGCAAGGGCCCCGGCTTTCTCCAGACTCTCCGAGTGCCAAGCCTCTCCTGAACACCCGCCGGCCCCAGGTGCTACAGGAGGGCCCAGGCTGCCAGCAAGAAGCTGGGCGCCCTGCGTTGTCTCCTGTGCTCTCCCACCTACAGTCCCCATGTCCCCACAGGATTGCCTTACCTGTCTTGGGGAGGCAGCTGCCACCTGGAGGTCTCAGGCAGTTGTGGCAAACTGGCTGCAGGAGAGCGACCTTTGTCCCCACCCCCCTTCCTCTAGGAACTGCCTTCACCATATAAGGGAAGATAGGGCCCTAGAGAAGGAGAGAGAATGGGGTGGGGGGAGAGGCAGGTGCCAGCCAGGTCCCTGGGCACTGGAGCCCAGTGACAGCCTGACAGCCAGAGCCAACACGCCCCGCCCTTGGCTGCAGAGCAAGCTCCCAGGATGGGGTGTGCTTCTGCCCGGACCCTGGGCCCTCACTTCAGGGGCACAACACCAGCCAGCAGAGGCAGGGGCGCCTACCAACCCAGGGGAGGAGGCTTATCAGTCCTACCTCCTTTCCAGTGGGGAATGGCTCTTGGGGCAGGTGAGCCCAGCACCCAGGGATGCAGGGCCAGGGGTTCACACTTGGGGCCCCCTCCAGGACAAATGGGACCCTGGTATGGTACCCCTAGGGGTCTCTCCTGCCCAACAGGATGCTGGCTCAGAGGGGACCCAAATGCTCTTTCTGTCCCCCCACTTCAGGGGCACTGCTGCACCTGGAGTTTTTATGAGCTGCCATAAACCAGTGCCTTTGGACTCTGCTCTGCCACTCTCCCAGAAGCCAAGGCTTCAGTCCCCGACCCCTGTTCCTAGGGGGCCCCATCTCATTCAGGACTTGAAAGGAGCACAGACCTCTCAGATGCGGGTCTCTGCCTCGAAGTCGGCTTTGCCTGCACACTCAGTGCCATGGGCAGCTGTCTCCCACCCCCACCGCTGAAGAAATTTCCTCTCACTTTTGACCCATGGTCTTCTGGCAAGTGAGATGAAGTGGGTTGGGCGAGGGCAGCCCCTCCTCGTGACCACACTTTCCCCTGTTGTGGAGGCCAGATTTCGTGTGTGTGTGCATGCGCATGTGGGTGCCTGGGGGTGCCTGTGGGAGCATGCTCATGCACAGTCTGGTAAGATGTGTAATCACACTGCAGGTATGATTTGAAAAATAACGCCTTCTTTTGAGAATGAAAGGAGTCTATATTCACTCAAACAGGCAAAAAAAAAAAAAGAACCCCCAAAAACTCATCTATAACTCTGTGCATGTACTATATGTACATAATATCTACATCTACACACACACACACACACACACACACACACACTCACACATGGACAGATACTTTTTAGTTCCACACATTATATGTTACTTTACAACTACATTTTAATTGTCTCATGGTAATCCATTAGGTAGATAGCATAGTTTATAAAACCAATTGCTCATTATTGAACTTCCACATTCATTCACTTATTTGATGCTACAAAGAATGCTGCGGTGCTCCATCTCTGCCATTAGATTGCACCCATTATTCTTTTGTTGGGATAAGCCCAGAAAAGTAAGACTGCTGGGTCAAAGATGTGACCAGGCCAATCGCCTTCCAAGAAAGTCACATTAATGTACAATCTTTTTATTTATATGCTGGCAGTGCAGAAAAGTACTGTTTTCCCACATTCTCCCCAGCACTGGGCTCCAGCTTTTAAGAAAACCTCTGTCAGTTTGATTGACAAAAAGAGAATAGTCATCATGTTGTTGATTTATGTTATTTTGATGACCACTGGGCTAACCATTTAAAAATGTTTCTTGGCTACATCTTCTCTGTGACTTTTTAATTAATTTGTTGAGTTGTTTATCTGTTAACTGTATTAAGGTTGGTAACCTGCCTGTCATTTATGGTGTACTCTCCAGTTTGTTGCTAGCCTTTTAATTTGGCCTTGGGATGTTTTTGGCAAACATATGTTTTAAAAAATTATTTTGAAGATTATTTGATTATCTGGATCTGGGCAATGGTTACATGTCAGAATTCATCAAGCTGTGCACTAAGATTTGTGCATTTCATTGTATGTATCTCAATATAAAAAATTTTAAATTAATTTCTTAAAACCTTAATAGAATATAGAGGGGCTGAGCTTATCCCCTTGCTGACCAAAAAAAGAAAAAAAAGAAAAAGAGAAGTGTTCTGGCAAAAGTGTAAAATAAATTAATAAATTAAGGAAATAAATAATAAAAAATTATTTCCAATTTATTAGGATAAGTGCCAAACACATATAAAAGTATTAATAATAGTACAATAGTATAATAAAAACACTCATGGACTCAAGAATTAACCATATATATATTTGGAACTAAATTTCAAATATCATGATGCTGCTTTATCACACATCTCCTAAGACTGAGGACATTCTCAATTCTGCACATCTGAGAATTTGAACAATTATTTTTAATATCATTTCTCTCCAGTCCATAGTCAAATTTCTCCAATCATCCCCTCCAGGACTTTAACAGCTGGTTTTATTGACTCATGATCAAATGAAGGTCATGCATTTCTTTTGAATGTTATGTCTATTCAGCATTTTGTAAAACTAAAACAGTCTAATGATATCAACTTACCTGAATGAAGGACAGTTGTCTTGTAGAATGTTGTCTGAGTCTGTGTGTATCATTTAATTTGTTCCTCTTCCTCCAATATTTCCTACAAACCGAAAGTACATCTAAAGTCTGGGTTAGGTTCCTCTTAAACACTTTTTTCCGAGAGTACTTGAAAAAAGGGTCAGCACTTCTCCAACTAATATTGTAAGAATCACCTGGGAATCTATTTAAAGTGAAGATTCTGATTCAGTGTGTCTAGGGTGAGGTCTGAGACTGCATTACTAACAAGCTCTCAGATGATGCTGATATGCCAGTCCATGGACCACACTTTGAGTAGCTTGAGCAAAGGTGTTGCTGGTACTTCACATTGCACGGCATCAGGAAGTACATAATGTCGTTGTCCTAGCATGAATGATGTGAAGCCTGACCCTTTGGTTACCGTGGTGACTGCCAGATATCCCCACTGTCCAGGCACATTCCCCCTTTGCAATTAGATGTCACCTTGGGGCAATGGTTTGGTATTGGAAGCCCAAAATTTTCCATTTGTTTGCCACTTTCTGCTTCTCCTCTTGTAATATTCATTTTGTAATTACTGTTTTAACATGTTTTTCTCACTGCTGCACCCTCCATAGTAGGCATGTAATGAATGAAGGAAAGAAATGGAATTTATGCTTTCTAAATATCTACTTTGATATTTAGGATGCTGTTTTTCATTTTAAATTGATTTTTATTTAAAAAAATAAATGTACCTGGCAAAATATTTCAAAATACAAACCTGTGAATAGTAAAATGTGTCCCTCCAGTTGGTCACGGAGTTAGTAGTACAGCACAGAGAATATAGCCCATGATTCTGTAACATCTTCCTATGTTGATAGATAGTAACTGCACTAGCGGGGGTGAGATTTTAATAATCTGGGTAAGTGCTGAACTACTGTGCTGTATACATACATGAAACCAATATAAGATTGCATATCAATGATACTTCAATAAAAAAAATTGTTTCTCTAGAAAACAAAGTGTCCCTCTCATCCTCCATGACTCCTACCCTGTCCCCTAGCCCTGGCTCCCTGGGATTAACCACAATTCCTATTTCTTGTGTACCCTATTGGAGTATAAGAAAGTATATAGGTACATTTGTGTGCTTTTATATTTCTCCTTAGTGAGACTACACCATCAGCATTGCTAGGAATCTTGCTTTGTTTCATTTCCCAATGTTTTGGAGATCACTCTGTTGGACTGTTCCACCTAATTGTTTTTCATGACTGCATGATATTCTGTTATAGATACAGCAACATTTATTTGACCAGGTGCTGGCTGGTAAACACTTAGGTTAGTTCAAGTGTTTTGTTATTGCAAACAAGTATGCACTCAATACCCTTATAGGTGCAAGGTTATTCATATATACATTTTGTCTACAGCATAAATCCCTATAAGTGGAATTGCTGGGACAAATGGTGTCTACATTAAAAAAATTATTGTGATATATATTGTCCAACCACTCTCAAAGAGATTGTCATCACTTCTGCATGTTGTTATCAGGTGACTGTTCCCTTGCACTCTGCTGTGTGTGTGCGTGCCATGTGTTTAACAAGCAAATAGTGAATATCTGCCCCATCTATCCAGGACTGGTTAGAGACATTTTCACAGCTGACATTTCCAAAGGCTTCCTCCTTCTCCTGCACCCCTAACCTATTCCGTGTCACCAACTAACCAGCCACAGCTTCCTGCCAAGGTTATCTCCTCTCTCCTGTCCATCCTTTCTCCTTCTCTCCCCTCTGCCTCTGCCCCAGTTCAGGTCTTTAGCCTTCACCTACAGAACCACGGAGAGGCCACACAGGGGCTCCAGTTCCCATACCCCTGATTAGGTTCCAAAGCTCTCTGCCAGGTTTGAGAACACACCTCTCTTGCCCTGTGTCCCTCAATGGCACCCACTATCTACAAGAAAAAGGCCACTCCCTTGAACTGCCTATTGATCTGCATTATCTGGCCCCTCTTGGTTTCTGTAGCATCATTTCCCATCCTTTCCCCACTTGCATGCAATTTCAAAATGGCCATTTCCTGCACTCCCAACTGTGGCTAGCCCCTGACGCTTTGGCTTCCTTTCCTGGTACACCTCCTACCTTCACCTGAATCACTCCTTCCCAAAGTCCTCTGAACCCCAGCCCTGCAGGAAGTATTTCCAGAGGCCTCCAAAGCCAGTCCAGGTGGGGTGAGGAGTCTGCGGGTGCTCCCTGCCTCCCATGCTCTCTCTTGCACTACACTGGCAGCATTCAGGCTTGAAATAATCTGTTCAGGCGTCTTTCTCCGCACTAGGGTGTGAGTTCCTTGAGAGAAGAGAATCGCCTAGCCGCCTACTCATGGTGGGTCCCTGGGTCCTGGCAATGTGCCTGGCTGATACATGTGGTTGGGCTGAACTCTGTGGGTGAAGAATGTGTGGGTAGCAGTGGTGGGGAAAGACTGTGGTCTCCTTCAAAGTTGGGCGCCCTGGTGACTTCCAGGCCTGTTGGTGCCTCTGGGATGCAAATCTGGGAGAATCAGTGTTTGCATGGAGAGCAGGAAATCCAGCAGGGCCCTGACGGAGCTGGAGGGAGGGAGGGAGGGCTGGTGGGTACTGCCCTGCTGAAGGATCTAGGGCTTCAGCTGAGGGAGGACACTGAAGGCTTCTCTTCCCAGAACGGTGTTGCCTGGATCCTTTCTACCAGGGAAACGCAGTCCGGGAGTGCGGCTATCACACCGTGGCAGGTCCCTCTCAGACTTGGGGGGCAGAGCAGCACCTGGGGCACCGGGAGGCTGGATCACAAGGCAAGGGGAAAAGGGTGGGAAGGGTGGCGAGGTGGAGCTTGGTGGGCTGGGATCAACCTTTGGGCGGGGCAATTCCCGCCCCTTCTGCCCCTGCCCGGAGGGAGCATGGGAGCAAGGCTGCCCGCTCCCGGAGAAGGGTGAACGGTGCTGACACTCCCAGCCCCCCGGGCTGGGGGAGGGGCCGGCCGGGGAAGCCTGGCGTCCGCGAGGTCAGCGAGGCCTCTAGCGGCCGCCGGGGAAGCAGGAGAGCGGGTCGGGGAAGGCGGGAGGGCACTTCCTGCCAGGGCCTGGGACTGCCCGGTGTTGCAAAGGAAGTGCTGCCAGGGCCGGAGAGGGGGAGGCAGGAAGTGGGCCGGAGGTTCGTAAAGGGTGCGGCCAGGAGGCCGAAGGCGGGGTGCGTAAAGGGGGCGCGCAGGTGAGCTGCACCGAGCGCCCGTCTCCACCCAGTCTCCTCTGAGACCCTGGCGCCCCCGCCTGCCTGCGACACCTGGCGGCCCACGTCAGCCTCCAAAGTTCTGTTTGAAGCTGATCTTGGCTTCCCAGTACCTCGCCCCGCTCCGCACCTCCCCTGGGGCCTCCCAAGCCCCTTCCTCCTCTCCAGGGCAGACCGCACCCCTCCCGTCTCCAAATAGCTTCCAGGGGCCTGCCCTAGGGATGCCTTTCTTGGTTTGGCTTTAAAGCTAAAATTACTTAGTTCTCCCCGTGCAGGCATTTAATCAATTCTGCAGAGGGCACGTCTGTATTTTGCAGATCAGGTAACTGAGGCTAAGAAATAAAATAATAATTGAATAGTATAGCCCAGTGCACTCAAATCCGCTCAAGGCTGTGCACTAACCTAGCCCTTTCACATTTCAAGCCCCAGGCAGCCTGGGGCAACCATTCCACTATCACCCCTCCCTCCAAAAGGTTTGCTTAAGAGGGGCACACAGAGCACACATATCATTTCCCAATAACCACAGAGGCAGGATGGGGGGGCGGTCTGGCTTTTAGTTCCCATCAGGCTGTGGGGCTCTCCATCACAGAGAAGGCACTTCAATGGCAAGGTCACCCAACCCAGGCCAACCTTGTCCTCCCTCCCACCGTCAGAGAGCTGGGGGGAGGGGTAATGACGTCTCTACTTGACATCCCCTTGGCACTGATATATAGGTCCCCTTACCCATCAGGTCCTGGGGAGTTCCCAAGGCCTGGACCTTCAGACTCAGCGTGGGGAAGGGGTTCCAGATAGAGGAGTCAGAGCTGGAAGGCAGGATGTACTGGGAGCTGCCCCAGCCAGCAAGGGGCGACATGGAGGGTTGCAGGGGGTGGGTTGGCACAGGGGAGGGGGCACAGCTTGGCCAGACTTCCTGGAGACCCCCAAACCCCTCCAAGAAGAATCCCGCCTCCTACAGATCCCCTAAAGGCACTAGTGAAGTAGTATGGGGTGGGTAGGAGAGGCACTGATTAGGTGGTGTAGAGACCCCCACATACACTCAGCTTGGTGGGTCTAGCACAGTGCTGGGCACAGAGAAGGTGCTCAATTAATGTGTTTTGAATGAATGATGGGAGCAAAGAGGGTGTGAGGGACAGAGAACAGGGCCCAGGGCCCTTTGGCCCAGCTTGTTCACTCAGAAAATAGCGATTTAAAAAATGTAAAAATCCTTTCCCTCCCTCCCCCCAATTCATGGGCCCAGGAAAAGGGTGAGGGAGGGGTGTTTCTACCCCCACTCTTTCCTCTACCCTTCCCCTGAAATTCTATATACACATATACATATTTATATGGCACCACAAAGGGGTCCTGCCTATGCCCCTACACTTGGAGCTGGGGGAGCCAAGACCCAGGGCCTTGGGGGTGGTCAAGGTAGATATGAGGGGATCAGGACTTAGGTGATGTGGGGAGCAGCCCTCAGCTACTGCTGAGCCCAGAGAGGCTGGGCTTTAGGGTCCTGAAGGCCAGATCCCCTACTTCCTTCTGAAGCGGTAACAGATCTTCTCTCCTGACCTCCTAGGCAGAGTTTCGTGGGGGCTTAATCAATCCCAAGGGAGAAGAGGGGGAGACTGGTTCCTGCCCTGCCAGCCTAGATTGGAGCAGCCACGAGACTGTTCCAGGCAAGAGCTGACCTGATTGCTCTCCTGGGAAAACAGGGCAGGGGAAAGGGCTCTAAGCAAGGCACTTGGTGTCCACTGTTCCCAGGCTGGGGGCCCAAGGCACGGGGCGGCAGAAACCCTGCCCCTCCCCCAAGTAGAACTGGAAAGGGCTAAGAGGCCCAATTTGGCAGCAGAGAAACATGGCAGCACAGAAGGAAACAGAAAGGGGGAGCAGCACATAGGGCCCCACAGGTCCCCCAAGGAGGAGGAAGAGGTTGTAAGGCACTGACTGAGGGACCCAGGGCTCATCACCCTTGGTGTGGCCTGCTGCCCCCTTTGCAGCCTGGCCAGGCTTCAGAGGGAGATGCCTACTTCCCCTGGCGCTGCGTTTTCTTAAGGAAGAGTCCGTGTGAAGGGTGCAGGCACTGGTCAGGGGCAGGTCCTGGCCCCAGGGCGCCTCACTAGCTGCCAGGCCGTGGCTGCCTGAGCACTGAGTACACGTCATCCACTCGGCTGAGCTGCTCGAAGAAGGGCAGGAGGTCATGGAGCTCTGTGTCACTCATGTTGTCAAACCACGAGGCCACTGGTACCTGGGCAGATGGGTGTAGGGTGGTGAGGGGGGCAGGTGGCCCTGGGCACAGAAGATGCAGACCAGCCCTGAGCACCCACTGCTCGGTGGGCCACCTCCTGGAAGCCCCTTACCCACAGTTTTCAAACATTTCTGACAGCAACTCCCACTAAATCACATTAATAAACATACAGTAAGAGTCTTAGAAAATACTTAACCTTACTGTGTACAAAACACTCTGATATTTTCTATTGTTTCATTTTTTCAAAAATCCTGACTAGGACCCACTAAATTATTTCTGTGATCCGCTGATAGGTCACAACTGGCAGTTTGAAAAATTGAAACTGCTCCAGTGCCCAGCAAGGACCCCAGCCCATGGTGGGCACCGTCTATACACCAGTGGAACAGACTGCTGGGGGCAGCAAAGCCAAGGCCGTCTGCATGCACTGTCCCTTTTCTTGGTCTCAGCCCCCTATCCCAGTCCTGCTGGCACTCACAGCATTGTCCGGATGGAAGACATAGGAGGCTGGCGAGTTATCCAGAATGAGCACCCGCCGAAGGTCTCTGCCCAGACGGCTCAGGTCCTTCACGTAGTTCCCCCGGTGGAAGACACACGACTCCCGGAACAGACGTGCCCGGAAGGCCCCCCACTTGTCCAGCAGGTCAGCCACTGGGTCTGCATACTGGGGGATGGGAGGTGGGTCATCTGGGCGTCAAAGGTACCCCAGAGATCACTGCTCAGAGGTCCATCCAGCTGCATGCTGGAGACAGATGGGAGGCGGGGCTGCCTTTTGAGTCCTGTGGAGGGTGGGGTCTCACCTTGGCGAGGCTGGCGGTGAACAGCACACACTCGAAAAGCTCGCCCATTCGCTGCAGGAACTCATCCACATGGGGCCGCTTCAGCACGTAGACCTGGGAGGTGGGCCAGTGAGGGGACTGCTGGCCCTCAGGCCAGGATGGGGCATCTGAGGGCTGGGAGGGAGCCAGTGGAGGAGGCAGAGGAGCACAGGAAGGAAGGCCAGGCCCAGAGCCTGTGGGCTCTTATTCACCAGCCACCCCAACTGCCACTGGGGAAACCACCCATCCTCCCAGGAGAGGATCAAAATGAACCTCTGGCTCCTGGCTTGTGCCCTACCTCATGGACAACCACTACTTCCCAGTTCTTTCCCCGACTATGGCCTCAGCCAAACGTACAGAGGCCTGGGAGCAGCCTCCTTACCCCCAGGCTGCAGGGCACCGGCCCCCGAGCCAAGTAATGGAGAACAGGCTGGACAGCATACAACCTATCCTGAATTACTTGAACTGGGTCCCGGGCAGGGTGGGGCAAGGAGGTCGCTGAGGAGGAAACCCTCTCCCTGAAGGGTTGGAAGTCAGGCCAGGTACCCCCTGAGGGTCTGTGTGACTTTGGGCAAGTCTCAGCCTCTCTCTGGGCCTTTGACATCCACATCTATCAAAGTCCCATTTGGGAGCTCTCAGGACTGTAGGAACCTGGGGTCTGGAAGGCAGATGCCAAGCCCACTGCCTCCCCCCATACCCAGTCCCTCACCTGGTGGACCACCCCATCAATCTCCACAGGGATGATGAAGTCGGCGTTGTTCACTGGCTGTGGGGGGGGAAAAGGAGCTGCTGGGGCGGGGCCCTCAGAGACCATCCCCCCAGGCCAGGGCAGGTCCCCTCAGAGACACTGGCCAGTGCCCTAGCCAGCTGCCCCCACCTTGAAGGAGCTGTGCACCAAGGTCTCGTCCAGGTCGATGACCACGCAGATCTTGTCCGAGTCCTGGGCCTTGGCCTCGGGGAGCAGGTACTGGACTGGAGTCTGCTGAGAGGATGGGCAGCGCTGGCTGTGGGCACTTCTCTCAAGACCCAGTCATTTCTCCCACATGGGTCTTCCCTCCCCCCAGCCCTCTACATGGGGAGGCTCTGGGATGATGGGGATAGACCATCCCCTTCCCAGCTTTGCCCCTGTCAACTCTGGGGCCTGGGGCTGGCTGCCTGGCTCTGTGCCTCACTGCACCACCTGGAAAAGAGACTAAGGTAGAGAAAAGCTTCTACCTAGGAAGGGAGAATGGGGAATCTCCTTGGCTGAGGGGCCCTTCCTTGGGTGGCCGTCTTAGAACGTCTTTAGGGCTGGGAAGGCCTGGGAAGGAAGGTGGACGGCTTGGAAAGCGGGCTCCACCCACCCTTTTCCGTACATTCCAAGGCCTGCAGGTGGGTCTTGAGAGCCCTTTCCTCGAAACCTCCAGGCTGAGCCCAGTGCCCCTGCAGCCCTCACCTGGCCTCCACATACCTTGGGGACAGCACCATTCTCCTCCACAAGCAGGGGAGCCCCACTGTGGGCAGGCACGGCCTCCGCATCATCACGGCAGACACAGCAGAAAAGTGAGTGGAGGATGCCCCGGCTCCGGGGCTTATGAGAAGTCACTGACTTCTGGTCACCTGAAGCAGGAAGGCCAAAGGTGGGGGCTCGCACGCTGGCCTGCAGAGGCATCCACATGTGTCCAGGTGCGAACCTCTGGGCTGAGAGGGTCTGGCTTTGCACCCTTCATTGAGGAAGACACATTAACATGGCTCCAGGCCATCTCTCTGCTACCCACAAGTCCTCCTAGTACAGGGAAAGATGTCCACCTTCGAGAGTGGGCTAGCTGGAAGGGGCCTATAGAGAGTGCCTTCTCTTTTCCTCACAGCCTTCATCACACCTGAGGGATCGGCCCCACTGTGGTGCCTCTTGACACCCACCTTACCTGAGCACCGACTGCTCAGTCCAGCCCCTGCCAAGGAGGGCTGGGGCCTGGGACCCTGTCCTCTACTCCTGCCCTCCTTCCATCCTCTTTGTCCCCAAGGGTCCAAAGTGCTTCATAAGGCTGGGCCCAGAGGCAAGCGTGGGTGGGCGGGGGGCTAGGAGCCAGTGTCCCAAGGCCATCTGCTGGTCCCGCCCCTCCGCCCCTAACCCCGCCCAGACCTCCAACCTAGAGCTGGGCACCGGCGGACAGATTGACAGGCCCACCCTCCACCCGGCCCCCCAGTCCCGGGCAGAGCTGGGACCAGGCCAGAGGTGGGCAGATCCCGAGCGACTTCTAGCTTCTGAGGTCAGCACCGGGACAGGGAGGGGCAGACCCGCAGCCCAACCCGCCGGGTTCCAGGGGCCCGGTCAAGGCGGGTGGCGAGGCTCCCCTGGTCGGTGCATGGGTGCACAGGCCCGGCTCCCACAGGCCTGCAGCCGGGACGCCGTGTGCCCGGCCAGACGCACGGGGCTCCCCGCGAGCGCGCTGGAGACCCTTAGAAGCGTTAACCGTCTCTGTGCCTCTGAGGGGCTCGGCACCTCCACGAGTGACGCGGAAGTTGGTGGGGACTGTGGCTCTGTTGGCGGGAGATCTTTCCACCCCTCCCCAGCCCGCTCTCACCTCGGCGCCCCGTCCCGCGACCCTACAGGACTGCGGCCCAGAGGGGTGGGGGTGGGGGGTAGAGTCTCTGCGGGTGGCTTGAAAGCTCCCTCTTCAACACCCCCATTTCCCAGTCCGGTTGGCGCCAAAGGGGGGGAGGGGGCGACTCTCGGGCAAAGCGCACTTCTAGCCCCAGAAACCCGAAAGGAGCCCCATCTCGTCCCTTGCCTCAGTTTCCCCACCTCGAGTTCTCCGGAGTGTCCAGAAGCGCCAGGCCCCGCCCCGCTCCTCTGAACCTCCGCAAGTTCAAAACTCTGCCCGCTCACTCTTCGGTTGGGAGCTTCGGGCTCCGCCGAGGCGAGCTCCTCAGGCGGGGACTGCTGCTGCCCAGGGAAGGTCCCGGCCCCTTCCTCCTTCCCTCCGGCAGCTCCCGGGCTGGGGCCCCTCGCGTGCAGCCCCAGTACCTTTGCCCCGTAGCGGGCCCCGCGCCTCCTCCTTGCAGATCTGAGTAATGACGGCCGAGCTGTCCATGGGGCCGGGCGCGCTCCGCTCCGGCCGGACTCTGGCCCGAGCGCCCGGCCTCCCCCCCGGCTCGGGCCGGAATCGGGGCGCGGGGGGGAGGGGAGGGGTGGGAGGGAGGGATCCCCGCGAGTTTCGGAGGGGTGGGGAGCCAGACTCTAAGGGGGAGGGGGAGGGAGGGGGCGCGGAGGAAACTTTGTTACAACATGGAGTTTCCTCCCCGCGAGGCGGATGCAAACATGGAACCCGGGCGCCGTTTCAAGGCTCCCCCTTAAAAGGGCAACGGCTTCGGCGTGACCTGGACTCGGCCGCGGCTTTCACCACTTCTGGGGCTGGCGCTGCTTGCCTGGCAGGGAGGCGGGCCCAGCCCCGGTCCCTGCGAGCTCCAGGGGGCGCCGCCTCTCTTCCTGCCTCCCGCCCGCCGGGCCGAGCCTTTGAGGCTGCGTGGCAGGCCCTAGACCCGGCCCACGGTTCCAGACTGCGGAGCCTCGGGGGACGGGGCCCTCCCAGCCCGGCGGGAGCGCCCACACCAGGGAGGCTGCGCGGATCCACTTTTGCGCTTTCCAAGAGACCTGGATACTAGCAGCTTCTTGGTTTTCTTATTTGGAAATGGGAATAATGATGTCTGTTCTGCTAAATGGGTGGGTCTTGTTTCCAATGGTCGCAGGGGCCACCTCGCAGTTAGTAATGGGCGAGAGAAGGCTCTTTGCTATTCCCCAAATGGTTGTGCTCTAGATCCAACTGTGACTGTCACCACCCACTGCAGCCTTGGGCCCAGGTGACCTGAGTCTGTAGGATGTGAAAATTCGAGCTCCCTGCCCGGATGCCCCCTGCCTACTTTCCAACTAATCCACGCGGTTAGCCAGGCACCCAGCGTCTCGAAGCCTCAGGACCGTTATCCAAGCTGTTCTTTCTGCCTGGAACACACTTCCTCTCGCTTCTCGGATACAAACCCGGTCGACCTCGATGAATGCCACCTTCACCAAGAAGGCTTTCTAGGTCCCCTCCTCTGTGTCCCCGCCGGCCGCTCAGATTACTGAAGGTGGGGGTCAGGCAGCGTCCGCAGAGTGGGCGCCCAATCACTGCGGGCACAGGGGCCGACTGTGAGGACCAGACATCAACTGGTCGGAGACTATTAAATACCCGTTCCACCCCGTTCTGTGCAGACACACCGTTTGGAGGGGGGTCCACGTTTCCACGCGGATTTTTCACAAGGGAAACTTCCGGGTTATATGCACCGTGAGGTCTGCAGGTTCTCCCCCAACCCCGTTTATTGAGTTCCTTCCATTTGTCGTTACTATTTTGTGTTCACAGTTTAAAAAATAGTAACGCCAAGCCTTGACAAACAAGCCTCAGCACTTCCTTCCCCCCGGGCCTCGGCAGCCGGGCGGGGCGGGCGCGTCCTGTCCCGTCCAGCCCTCGGGTGCGAGCCCGGCTCACGTCCTCCAGGCGCGGCGGCGGGGGGGGCCGGCCTCGCGCGGGGGAAGGGAAGGGGGGGAGCGCGGTGCCGACGCGTGGGTGCGCCAGCTCCGGACCTTGCCTGCGACGTGGGCGAAAGGAGGAGGTCCGGGGCTGTGCACCCCTCCCACCCCAGGCTGGACACCGGAGTCCTCCTCCAGCTCTTACGGCGCCCGCAGTCCTCCATCATTGTATTTAATCCTAATAATCGCCAACGTGTAGCGAGTGCTTCGTCCGGGTCTTGCCCTGTTAGCGCCGCCTAATCCCATCTTCTTCGCAGAACTACCCCCTTTTTACCCCATTTTACAGATAAAGAAACAGCCCCTAGAAATGAAGCGACTTAACCCTGCCTTCCGGCGAGGGCAGAGGCGGGATTCCAGCCCTGGGCGGGGTGTCAGCTTTACCTCCAGAAGCCTGGCCCGCACGGATCCCATAAGGAAACATGTGGCGGAGGACTGATTGAAGCCCTGGCCTTGCCACAGGCCTTAGCTGGACGGCTGGTCTTTCTGTCTTTCCGTTTCTCCCTGTCTGAACGCTGGAACCTGGCCGGCTGTCCCCGCGAGGGGCACGGTAGCTGATTCTGGGACGCCCAGGACCCTTGCTATCCGCCTACCTTCCGCCACCACAGCGCCATTGCCTCCTCTATCGCTTCCTCATCGCCCCTCTAGCTGGTGTGGGCCTCTTCCTCTGGGAGACCTTCTCTCCTCCCGGTCCCCAGGCACGCCCGAGGGGTAGGGGCGGAGTGGTTAAGGGGAGGCAGGAAGCCCCCTGCAGTGCAGGGTCCAGAGCCTGGGGATGGAGGAGCTGGTGCTAGTAGGGTGGGGCGGGTTCTTTGGGTTTCCTCCTGTGGGGTGGGGTGGGGGTGCAGAGGGGCAGTTGCTATCCCTCTGCCCACCCCACCCCAGCAGTTTCCGGGGTGGGGGTACCTTACCCACAATTTTTATCCGTTTCATGTGTTTGCACCCCAGGAAGAATAAAGTAGTGGGTCAGGTGGTGAGTCCAGAAACATCAGGACTCAGTCTGGCAACTGCGCGCAAGTGTCTTCTCTATCCAGCGCCTCTGCTTCCCCATCTGCCAAATGGGGTTGGTTAGAGCCCAACCCAGGCAAGTTGGGGTAGGAAGGCAGGCTGGGCATTCTGGGCAGGCTCCTGGAGAGAAAGAAGGTGCCAGGGCACTCCCCACTGCTCCAGTTAGATCTGAGCCTGGCGACTGGGAGGAGAGCCGCTATGGGAGTGGAGGCAGCCCTTGTAGGGGCCTCCCTGCCCCGAAATGATTGACCTTGGCCTTACCTCATTGCTAGTCTGTAGCCCAAGCCTAGGGTAGGTCCTTAGCTGGTCCTTTGGCGCCCTCCCCTCCCCGCCTTCCTTGCCAAATTTGAATCGCAGGCTTAACAATTCATATGACCAGCCTGCCCATCCTCTGGGGTCCCTGCCCTGCTCCGCAACATCTATGTTGCATGACTCGATGGCACAAGGTTGCATGTCTCTGTAACACACGCGGACCCTCTGGTCATTCCCCTTGACTGCTCCCCGGACCTTTCCTGACCAGCTTTCAAAATCCTGTCCAGGAGTTACCTTCTCTGGCCCCACGCCCGCCTTACAGTGATTTGATATGTGTTTAGCGGTCTTCCCCAACGGGAGTGTGAGCTCCTTGAGAGCTGACATCTTTAATTCGGGGCTTTGCCTCTCTCCACGTCTGGCACAGAGCTGGCACCCAATTAATGCCTAGTGCATAGAGAGGGGGTTGTGCAGAGGTATGGCAAGGGGGCACGTCCAGGAAGCTGGAGACGGTCTGGGAGATGCCTCTCTCCACTGTCCGGCCCCCATATTCTCCAGGGCCAAGCGCGGAGGATTGGGTGGCCTTCTTGCCCAAGTACGTTCTCCCCCCTTTGGTTGAGCCATACCTGCCTGTCCAATCCCGCCCTCCTGGAAGGCCCCACAAGCATCGTTGCCCTTTTAAGAAAGAAAATTCTTCTCATAAACAAGTGCCCCAATCTGAAAGCGGAGCTTGTCTCGTTGGATCCCCAGTAAACTGGGGCACTACGCCCGCTCCAATCTCAACCCAGGGATTACACCTGATGGCCCGTACTCGCCAGGGTTCTCCACAGCTCTGGGGCTGGGGTCCGAGGGACAGGAAGAGGCTGGAGGAGGGACTTGGGGAGTCTAGAAACAGCCCAGGGAGCGTCTGTAAAGTGCAGTTCTTGCACACGGCGAAGGGGCGCCGGGCCGCTCCCAGCGGCCGAGGGGGTTCCCCGCCCACACAGGTTCCCCCCTCCACCCTCTTTACGCAAAGGCGGATACCGAGGCCCCAGGGCGCGACACCGAGTGCCCGCCTCCTCTTCGGCTGGGAGGGGTGAGGCCGAAGCGGTGAATGCCCACGTTCCGGGCCCCTAGGGGAAGCTGGGAGTCGGCACAGAGGGAGCTTGAACCGCGCAGCGTAGGAGTCCCAGCCGCCTGGTCCCTGGGGACAGGGCAAATGAATTGGGCCTCCGAGGCACGGACTCTTGGGTTTCTTTTGACCTGGTGCCTGAAGAAGGGGAAACTGCGTCACCGTTTTACTACCTGGGAAATGGGTTGCGAGTGGAGCAGAAAAGCTGAGGGCACTCCAGCGAGAGGAGGAGGGAACCGATATTTGAGTTAGGGGGCCGTCTTGATGGTCCAGGGATTTCCTGTTTTTCCCGTTTTCATCACCCCTTTTGGAGGAGAAGTGAACTAGCATTTATTTAGCATTCACCAGACTCTATTTTCAGTGCAAATCTAGAGCCTATGTCCAGCCCCTAATTGGGTTGATCTGTCAGACCACTCCTATAGGTACTCAATAAACACTTTGGAATGATTTTTTTTTAAAGTCCCAAGTGCCAGGCAGTGTGTTAAAGTGCTTCACATCCATTGCAAGGTTGGTGGTGTTCCAGTTTTACAGATAAGGATACTGAGACCCTGAGGCTAATCACTCGTTCAGGCTATGTCCCTGTGGAACCCAGGTTGTTCTGCTTCCAAAACTCCCTCTCCATCTTGCTGCCTCCATGCTTCCCACCCTCTCACCCTTTGTTTGCAGCCAGTCTACCCTACTCAGTCCGTCCCCCAGCCAGGCTGCTTCATCTAGAGATCATCCCCTCTGCTCCTCTTCAGAAAGCCCATACAAGAAGTGTTGGTGGGAGCTGTGAACCAGAAGGGTGGCTCCGTGGGCGATGAAACAGGTCCAGACCTGGAGGAGGGGCGGCCATGAGTGTAGGAGAGAACAAGACCTCTGGGGAAGCCCCAGTGCACCCCTCCCCTTCCATCTGTTGCCCCTTCTCCTTGCCTCCTCCATCCCCAAGGCACCCACTGACTCTATAGTACCAGATAGGTGGTGAGGCCCAGGTAGACAGCAGCCAGCAGGGCTACAAGGCTGAAGTAGGCAGGGTGCGGCAGGCTGGGTAGGTAGCTGATCACGAAGTAGAGGTTGATGGCACAAATGAGCGCCATGATGGAGGAAGTGATGCCCTTACTCAGCCTGGGGGACAGGAAGAAGACTCAGGACTGGCCACATCATCTCCTCTCGAGTGCCCACAGCCAGCCTGGAGCTGGGGTGTGTGTGTGAGGGGAATACATAAAGCTGTCTTCTCTGGGTTGTGGGACCTGGAGCAGATCCCTCGCCCACTTCTGCCTCCTGGGCCCCCCAGGCTCCACATTGGCAGGATAGGGCAAGAGCAGAGTCTGAGGGGCTCAGGTTTCATCAATAGCCCCCATCCCCAATTCCAGTCCTGTCTCCCCAACTTGCTAGCTATGTGACCTTGGGCAAGTTCCTTAACCTTTCTGAGCTTACGTGGATAATGGGGAAATGGTGATTCTTACCGCTGGGTGGTTGTGAGGATCAAATGTGGTAATGGGAGTGTAGTGCTTGTGATGGGGACTACTCACCGGCCATTGGCAAACTCCTGCATGAGGGCAGGCATGCTGGTGAACGTGAGGATGGGCAGCACAGCGAACGGAAGCTGGGGAGAAGTGGGAGGATGGGATTGAAGGGCTCTGCCTTCAGAATACAGTAAAGAGAGGAGTGGACTGGGCCTCCTGTCATTATCTGCCTGGCTACATGCCTCCTAACCACTCTGAGCCTCAGTTTCTCCACGGTTATGCCTTCCAAGGGCTCCAAAGCAGGAGAAAATGTTTGGGGACTCTTGTTCTAAGCTGCCTGAGTTTGAATTTCAGCTCTGCTACTGGTCAATTAACTGCATGCATCAGTTTTCCAATCTGAAAAATGGGGTAATGGGGGTTCCAACCCCTAGGGTTGTGGGCATTATGTGAGCTTGTAGGCAAGATGTGTTTAGAATAGTGCCTGGGAGGGGATCCAGAATAGTGCTCAGTATGGGGTTTTGCTGTGGTGCCTATTTAGTTCCACAGCAGGTAGGGATGACAGGGGCTGTCGGCTCACCAGTAGGCTCTGCAGCACATTGAGCAGGTCGTTGAGGCCCGACAGGTCTTTCAGGTTCCTGAAGACGGCCACCAGCACGGTGGGCAGGATGGCACAAGAGCGGGTGAGGAGGACGCGGGCAAAGTGTGACCACCGCAGTTTCAGGAAGCCCTGGGGTTGGGGTGGGCACCTTGGTGGTGGGGTGCAGGGCTGGGGATTCCAGAGCAGGAACCCCCTTGTCGTCCCTCAGCCCATCTCACGCCTGGGGGAACCTTCTGTTTTTCTATCTCTTAAATGGGGGCAGCTCTGTCCCTAGCTGGGGAAGAGGAGACGGACGGGAGAAATTTGGGGGGTTCCTTCTCACAGCTGAAAGCTGAAGATTACAGAATTTTGGAGAAAGGGCTCCTATTCGTCCTGGGTCTGCAGCCTCAAGCCAGGCGCTTCACTTCTCCGAATCTGTTTTCTCATCTGCGAAGTGGGGCTTATCCTGGCGCCCTCTGGGCTGCTTTAAGGATGGAGGAGGCCCGCGTTTGAGCCCTCCGTAGCGTGCCTGTTAACCTCGGATCCTTGGCCCTCCCTGACCCGCCTCCCCAGACCGCACCTCCATCACAAACTGTCCCGCGTAGGTGCCGGTCATCGTGGAGCTCTGCCCTGCCGCCAAGAGCCCCACCGCCCAGATGTAGAGAGCAGCGGGGCCAAACAGGCATCCCAGGATCACGCCCTGGAGGGCGGGGTGTGGTCAGACCCATGACCCCGCCCCTCCCCGTGAGGTTCCTCCCCTGAGGTGGGCGTGGCGGAGAGCCAAGTCGGATCACTCCTTTCCCTGCCCTGCCCTGCCCTGCCCTGCCCTGCCTCGCCTCGCGCTTACTCCTTGGTAAATGTCCACGTTCACTGTAAGGTTGTTTAGCGGGAAGATCTTGGCGTAGTCGTGGAGGCTGCTGTTGGCACAGACGTTGAACTGCGGGCAGGGAGGGAGTAGGAGGGAGATGTGAATGAAGTGCACATTCAAGTCTCAGACGGTCAAACCAACAGGCCTTGACAACAGGGATGGAAAACTGGTGGCCTGCGAGCTGAGTCAGGCCAAATCTATTACATTTGGCTAACAGTTTTCTTCCCTTTAATGTGAATTTGTTGCCAACATATAAAATTGAGAAGAATTCACATGAAAACCTAGTTTCCAGGGTTCTGTTGGTAAAGCTGGCATTACCACAGAGACAACCGGCTGGCAATGATTCAAGCTTCCCCACCCCAGACCCACTTCCCACAGCTCTGGAACTGGCCTGCTCTTGAAGGTCACACAGCAAGGCAGTGGCAGTGCCCAGGTCCCAGGAGGCCTGGCCCGCCCTCCCCCAAAGTGCCCGGCATTCAGCAAGCGCCCAACACTGGCCAGCAGTTATTACAGCCTCGTGACAGAGACCCACTCAGAAAGACAAACAAGCACAGGTCCCAAATCCTGGAGAGCCAGGGAGCAGCAGGCCAGCCCCTCTTTCAGAGTCAGGTCAAATGACACCTCCTCCAAGGGGCCTCTTCTGACTACCTGGGTTAATGTAGCCCCTCCCTCACCACACCCCCAATTCTGTCTCATCACTCCCTTTTCTTCCTTAACAACGTTGTTCACATGTCTTTTTTTGTACTAATTTGTTGATTTGTTTCCTGTCTGCTTACCACCCTCCAAATTTAACCTGCAAGAGACAGGGTCTTTGTTTCATTGCTGTATCCCCAAGATGCAGGACACTGCCAGGTACATAACAGATGCCCAGTGAATATTTGTAGAATGAATGACAGGTGATCTGCTAATGAAGATTATCAGGAGAGAGGACTCGGAGAAGAAAATGACTGCACCTTCCCAAGTCCATGCTTGTGCTCAGGCAGGCACCTCCTCCCAGGACACCCCCGCTGCAGCTTGCTAGGCAAACCCTGCCCATTCTTCAGGGTGCAGCTGGAATGCTGGGTCCTGCAAGACTCAGCTCCTGCATCCCAGTCACCTCCCTTGAATGTCAGTGCCTTGCAGCCCATGGGGTGGGTTGACTCTCTACGAGCCTCCCCGGGGTGAGCTGTGTCTCCCTAGTGGGATTGGGAAGGGGGTTCTAGCCAGAAGCCAGGCTCATAGACTCCCTCCCCTACTAGTGTCTTCAGTGCAGCGACTCAAAGGGCTTAGCTGCACTGCCTGGAGTTCCTGCACAGCCTGCGGGACATGTGTGTATGGGGAAGCACGGTGCTTGGGGAGGTGTGCCTCACCGCATCCTGGTTGGTTTGCTGGAAGAAGGCCTGCCCAAAGACAGCCATGACAAACAGGTTGATGAAGAAGGACACGGACAGGGCGATTGTGGCCTCAATCAGGAAGTACATGTTGGCTTCTCGGATGTCAGCCCGACGAGAGCGATCTATCTCTCGAGACTATGAAGGTCAAAGAGGAGGGAAGAGCTAAGTCCCTCAGAGACACTCCAAGATGCTCCCCAATCACACTTCTCTCTGTGTTTCCCCCAAGCCCCAGTTATTTGTAAAGAAATTGCCATACATGGCAGCGGAGCAGGCCTTGGTCAGCCAAGCCTCCTTCCTGCTGTTTGCCCAGTTTATTTCTGCCACAGGGCCTTCACACTTGCCATTTCTTTTGCTTGGATTATCTTCCCCCTTGATCTGCCTCCCCATCCTTCATGTCTCAAAGGTCACCTCCTTAGAAAGGCATTTCCTGACTGTCTTTTCTAGAGTAGCCTCCTCCTCAGTAATTCTCTATCATACTTCTGTTTTGTTTCCCTCAGAGCACTTTTCAGTCATAATTCTTTTTTTGTTTACTTGCTCACCATCTGTCTCCCCCACTAGAATGCAAGCCCTAGGAAAAGAGAGAACTTGTCTGTCTTCTTACCATTGACCCACAGCTCCCACACACAGTCGATGCTCTATTATTATATGACGAATAGAGACTGATTCACTTCCCGCCTAAAATCCTGAAGGCAGGAGCCCAAGGGGCAGGGCTACAGGCCTGGGGCGAAGCCAGCATGGCCCTAAGGTAGCGGGCATCTCTCCCTCTCCTCCCCTCTGCTCACCTTGACCAGGGCTGAGTGCAGGTAGATGTTGTGGGGCATGATGATAGCACCCACGATGCCCACCGCCTGCAGCAACTCAGGCTGACCACAGCGAGGGCATGAGGGCAGGAATAGGTCCCGAAGAAGCGCTCCCTGAGCGGGACGGGCCACCACATACTGTGGGGAGGAGCCTGGTCAGACCACGCCCCACCCCTGAACAGCCCTTCACACCCTCCACCCGGACCCAGGCTTCTAGGGGGCGTGGCCAAGGACCGCTACCCCCTCCCCTCCCGCTCTGGCAGAGAGAGCTTAAGTGTGTCTGGCTTCCCACCTCATAGCCGAAGGTCAAGGCCATGATGGTAATAAGTAATCCAAAAAAAGCTTCCAGCTTCCGCAGCCCTAGGGGGAGAGCAAAGGGGCAGAACCAAAAATCTCCCAAAATTGTAACATAGGCAATTTCTTAAGCACTTTGTTCCAGGCACTGAGCCAAGTGCTTGGCATATATTACCTCAATGAATCCTCACCCCAGACCAATGACATCTGTGCTATTACTATCCTCGTATTATAGATGAAGAAAGACAAGTCTAAGTAACTTGCTCAAGGCTGCACAGCCAGCCCAAGGGAGCCCAGAACCCTCCTTCCAGGATAGCAGCTCCCAAACCCGTGTGGCCACCATATCACCCATCCCCTGCAGCTCCCTGTGAGATGAGGAGCAAGCCCACCGTAGTTATCAAGGAAGAGGAAGAAGAAAGTGTCCACGATGGTGATGAGGACGCCACCCCAGAGCGGGATTCTGAAACGAGAGTGCCTGGGGTCAGCCCAGTTCGGTCCAGAGATCTGGACTCCCATCCTCAGGTTTGGAGACTGTGGAATCTGGCCTCCTGGGAGCAGGGACCCAAGTTGCCCCAGACAGCTAAGGGGGAGGGGAGCAGGAGTGTGCTGGAGAGGGGAACATAGCACAGAACCCTAGGAAGGGCCATGCTGGGTGGGGGACCAGCATGTCAGGGGGGCTGGGGCTGCACTCCTATGACTGTGAGGTGACCGATGTCTGTGCGACTTTAGATGAGTCACTTTGCATTTCTGAGTCTCTGCTTCCCCATCTGGCAAATTGGGCAACAGCTTTGAATCAGGAGCGACTGCAGGATGAAATGGGCTCAGGGAAGTATAAGGCCTGGGGAAGAAGGAGCAGCTGTCCCCAGCCCTGGACTGAAGAACTGGGGACCCTTGGGGCAGTACCGTCCAGCTGAGAGTAGATTGAATGCAATAGCCGTGCCGATGACCTCCTGCATGTCCGAGCCCACAATGGCTAGCTCAATCGTCAGCCAGAGGAGAGTGCGAGGCACCTAGGGAAAGGACATAACCCGTTATCAAGGCTGGGCCTGTTATTTGTCATCTTGGTCCTTCACTCACCTTTGCATGGCCTGCACTACACTGCTGGGCTGGAAGCCTGCAAGACAGCCTTGCTGGCTGGCTTCCCAGTTAGATTTCTTAGGAAACAGTTAAGGGAGACTGAAAGTCAGGGAGAGGTCATTTTTTTCTCCTGCTTCTGGTGGTGTTTCTGGCAGTGGCACTAGCAAGGGCACCGGACAACCTGGACTCCAGCAGCACTGATGGCCATTTTGGCAAGGGTGGCAATGCCTCCAGAAGCTTGGCAGCGAATGATGGCTGTTGGGTAACACCTCCTTCCTCCCAACACCTTTGTGATTACATCCCTGCATTAAATACCTTTCAAATATCTCGTGGCATGATTTCCGTTTTCCTGCCTGGATACTGACAACAGCCATGTCCCCCGTGTCCACATCAGTCAATAACCATCCCAAGCCGATACCTACCTGTTTTTCACCTTGGGCAAGCCATTTCCCCAGGTTTCAATTTCCCCTTCTGCAAAATGAGCAAGGCATCTCTAATGCCACTGTCAGTCTGGGTGTTATTTACTTGAGCCTCGATCTTCTCTATCAACAGACTTGGGATGCCCCACTTGAGATGGTATATTTATTGGATCATGGAAGCTGTAGATGGCTGTTTGGGTTTTGGGGCCTGGGGATGCTTCCTGTCCAGGTCCATCAAGCTCACCTTAGGGTAGTAGAGATGGCAGATCTCGCCCAAGTCCTTGCCTGTCACCACACCCAGCCGGGCAGCAAGTCGCTGGCAGAGCAAACCCAACACTGTGGCCCAGAGCAGCACCCAGAGCAGCTGTGAGAAGGTAGGGAGAGCCCTTAGCCAGGGGACCCGGTCTCTGATAGCCCTTGAGCCAGTGGTACCCTCTAACCAAGGACACTCCCTGGGGAGCGAGTTGGGGAGATTTGATGAGAAGACCAGCTTCCCCCTTCCCATTTACGCCACACTTTGTCAGGTCTGCCTTGGGGACCCTTTTTTGGCCCATCTGAACTTAACACCTGCTTCAGGGAACCCCAGCCATGCAGGCCACTCTGGGGAAATGTGAAAAGCTAGGGGTCTCTACCCACTTAACCTGGTCCCTCTCTCCCCATGGTGCCCGACTCAATCACTTTGAATCCAGCCACAGCACCAGCCTGAAGATCTGATTCGATGTTTCCTGGGTCCAGAAAAGCGATGCTCATGAGAAAGCCAGGCCCTGTGAAGGCCCACAACTTCCGAAAGCTGAATGTGCCCTGTGGGTGGGAGTGGAGGGGGGGTCATCAGCTGGGGCTGTCCAGCCCTGCCCTCATTCTCATTCCTGGAGCTGCCACCCCAGGGGCAGGGGAGGGCCTGGGGTTGGAGGAACTAGCAGGATTTGCTGAGTCACATCAGGTCTACTTTCGGGATGGGCCACATTCAGCAACTGGTCTGCACCTAACTCGCCTGACTTGTGCAGGCCCTGACTCAGCAGATCCTCAGGCATGAAAGGGGTCTTTATTGTGGTCAGGCCTTCCTGCCAGTTCCTCTCTGGGCCCCCAGCCCCTTCTCAGACCCAGGATGTCCTCTCCGGAGTCCACTGAATCTAGGGTCTCCCACTCTATTCCAAAGTTTGGCCAGGCAGCCTGCGATCTGCTAAAGATTGTGGAAATGCATGGTGACAGAGTCCCAGAAACCAGTCTACATCTCCTTTATTTCTCCTGATGGCCTTGTCTGGGTCTGTTCCTTTAATGCTACAACAAATCCTTGAAGCTCCAGCCCAAACTCTCCTCACGCCCTTCTCTCATCATAGGAAAGCTGAGATTCATTTAGAAAGCCACTTGAGAATTCTTAGATAAATAATAAGCACCTCAGCTAAGTGCTGGGGACAGAAGCAGGAAGCGGGCAGGTACCACAGTCCATCTCTGCAGTTCAGAGCTGGAAGGGACTTGCCAGGGTCTCCAGGAGACCTCCCTCTGGCAGCCTGTGAGATCCCACATGAACCTGTAAGTCCTGAAATACCCCCAAGGAAGTTTGTAGCATTCTTACTGGTTTTGTGTCCGGGATGGGGACCTTCTCACTCAGGTAGGTTGTTCTGGGAGGTGTTTGCTGTGGCCCTGGGCTGGGTGGGCTGGAGATGGAGCCATAGCTGGACCTGCTTAGGCTTTGGGGGCCCCGGTCACCTGCAAAGGGCCCCATGAAGCGTGGCAACTGTGCTGCTGCTTTCAGACCGCCCAGAGCGAAAGCCATCTGTCCACCTCCCCCACCCTCCTGGCAAAGTGGAGAAATCAAGGCCCAGCTGATAGGGTCCTTTGACTCCCTCTTTGCGTCCATCACCTCCACCCCTCAACCAAACATTCCAGAGATTTACTATCCTTTCCTATGGACTCAGAGATTCCACAGTCCATATCTCTCTTGCCACAGAGGATGTGGAGAGAGACAGTGGTCTTTAGGAGGGCAAACTGACATAGACACATATGTCCCTTGGCCTCACCATTCCTCCTACCGCAGCCAAGGAAGCTCCAGGGACTCTCGATACACAGAGATCAAGGGGATGTGAAGGCCCAACCCCAGGCTGGCATCCAGAATTGGGTTGAGAACAGGACTCCTGTGGGTGACCAAGGGCTTCCCTTGCCTCCCTGACTGTTCCCTATTCCCACTCCCCATTCAGGCGGTCCCTGGAGGGGATACTCACCTGGCATGAGGATGGCAAGTTCAGGCACTCTCGACACGTGGTGGTCTGCCGGGAAACTCCTTAACCCATGCTCCCTCTCTGGGTGTTGGCGTATGTGAGTGTATAAGCCCACACTCTCTTCCCCATCCTCAGCTGATCTCAGCTGTTCTCAGACACACAGGGCATTGTGAAACACTTTCCAAAGGCAGAAGTGGCCAGTTCTGGCGGAAGGGACTGGTGGCCATAGTACAGACTTCCGTTCCCCTCTGGCCTGAGCCTCATAACACCTCTGGGCCCCTTCCAGACGCCCCATATCCTGTGCCTCCCAAGTTAGCTCTGACTTCAAGACACTCCCTGCCACTTGTGCATTCCTGTCCAGATCACATGACTGCTCCCCACTCCATACACAAACAGACCCTTCTCCTTTTCCATCTGGAGTCCCATGGCCATGGGCTGGATGGAGTTCTGATGGCCACCTAGGAGTGCCTCAAGGAGAAAACCTTCTGAACACTGCCTGGAAAGTGAAAGCAGCACTGAAGATTAGGATAAGAAGATGCTTAGAAGAAAAGGACACTGGAATCTGGTCCTGATTTCTGCACTGATTCACTTAAAATTATCACCAGATCTTGTCTTCTCTCTGAGCTTGTTTCTTCTGTTAAATGAAGGACTCAGACTAGCTAAGAGATCAAACATATAGGTGCCCAAGAAGGTCATACAGTAAGATAAGCTATGAGATATTGGGAATGAGAAAAACAGTGCCAGCTCAGTGATAAATGACAAATGCTGCTAAGCCTCCATGCCAAGGGGTAATAGGGAGTGGTGGAGAGTGTAGAAAAACAAAAGACATATACTCTGTCTGAAGAAGGAAGTGCCTACAGAGTTCTAGGCTTTGTCATGGGGGACTGTGTGTCCACTCTCACCATATCATCTGATTTGTCAAGGATGCTGGAAAATTTGGAATTTTATACATGTGCTTCATATATGTGAATACTAGGCTCAAAGAATTGAAAATATTGTATAATCTAAACATTTCTATGATTCTACTTAAAGTTCATCTGTCTGTAACGTCTGGATAAATGGTGGACAAGACTCTTCCAGCTCCCAGTTTCTTCTGTGCTCTCCCACTTAGCTGCTTTTGCAGGCAGGTTCTCAGGCCCAGACCTGATCTGGGACATGATGTATCCCCACACTGAGTGAAAAACTTCAGCTGAAACTTGGGGAGCCAAGGTGGAGGGAGGAGCCAATTTCCTTGCTCCTTGTTTGTAGAGGAGGCTGGAGGGACTAGAAAGGTGTGGGTGAATGAAGGGTCAGAGAGGAGAGAGCAGCTTCATGGTTTGTCACCGTGCAATCCTATTGCTCAAGGTACTATGGCCATCCTTGACCTTTAGGGTTTGCACACATTTCCCAATCACTACCTTGGGCTCATGTGGGATGGATGGGGTTGGGGCTGAGGCAGGATGTTGTGATGGTTACTTTTATGTGACAACTTGACTGGGCCATGGGATACCCACGATACTTGTTAAACATTCAGAGTGCGTCTGTGAGGATACTTTTGGAGGAGGTCCACGTTTGAATCTGTACACTGAGTGAAGCAGATTTCCCTAAAGTGGATGAGCCTCATTAAGTGAACTGAAAACCTGAACAGAACAAAAGACTGAGCAAGGAAGAATTCTCTCTCTCTCCTGACTGTCTTTGAGCTGGGATTTAGTCTTCTCCTGTCTTCAGACTTGGACTGGAATCATAGGCACCATTCACTCTCCTGGGTCTCCAGCTTGCAGCTTTTAGGACTTCTCAGTCTTCATACTCATGTGAGCCAACTATGAGCCAATTTCTTATTATTGATATATCTATCCATTTACCCATCTGTCTGTCTATCGGTCATCTCTGTCTCTAATTTTCTATTGGTTTTTCTGGAGAACCCTAAGACAGATTTCTTCCTCTTTGCATCTTTTTTGTCCTTATCTATAGTCAGGAACTCAGTAAGTATAATTGATCAACTGATCAATACACTGCATAACCTTTAACTTACAGAAGAGGCAGGATAGTGTAATGGTTCAGCATAGAGGTTCTGGGCAGAGTATCAGACAGTGGGAAGCTATGTGAGCTAGAGCTCCAGAAATCTGCATAGCAGTTCCCTTGGACCTGGACTATTTGCTGAATACTAAACCCTGCATGTATAGAGTAAAATTTCATAAAGCTCAATTCATTTAAAATGGATCACCGACTTAAGTGTAAATATAAAACTACAAAACTTTTAGAAAAAAGTAAGAGAAAATCTTCAGGATCTAGGACTAGACAAAGACTTGTTAGACTTGACATCAATAACATGATACATAAAGGGGAAAATTGATAAATTGGGCTTCATCAACACTAAAACCTTTTGTTTTGTAAAGGGCCCTGTTAAGACGATGAAAAGACAAGCTAAAAACTCAAAGAAAATATTTGCAAACCATGTATCTGACCACAGACCAGCACTGTGCAGTTAGACCATTATCTAGAAATGGAAAAAATCTCTTAATACTCAACAGTAAAAAACCAAACAATCCAATTAGAAATGGGCAAAAATCATGAACAGACATTGAGATACCTCTATATCCTTATCAGAATGTCTAAAAAAGAAATAGTCACAACACCAAATGTTGGTGGGGTTGTGGAGAAACTAGATCACTCATATGTTGCTGGTGGGAATATAAAATGATACAGCCATCTGGAAACTGACTGGGAATTTCTTTAAAAGCTGAAGATAAAACTACCATATAATCCAGCATCTGCACTCCTGGGCAATTTTTTTCCCAGAGAAATGATGATTTATGTTCACACAAAAATCTGTACATGAGTTTTAGTAGCAGCTCTATTTGTAATAGCCCAGACAGGAAACAACCCATATTGATCTTCAACAGGTGAATGGTTAACCAGACTATGGGTATATCCATACCAAAAAATATACTCTTGGGCATTTATCCCAGGGAAATGAAAACATGTTTGCCCCAAAGCCTGCATATGAAAGTTTATAGTAGCTTAATTTGTAATAGCCAAAAACTAGATTAGCCCAGGTGTCTTTCAACAGAAGAAGACTAGTTAAGCTAACTGTAGTACAAACCATGGGTTACTACTCAGCAATGAAAGTAGCAAACTGTTGATACATATGATAACTTGGATGAATCTCCAGGAAATCATGCTGAGTGGAAAAAGCCAATCTCAAAAGGTTACAAACTATATTGTCTCATTTATATGACATTTTTGCAATAACCAAATTTTTGAAATGAAGGCCAGATTATTGCCCACACATAGAGATGGGTGAGATGGGGAGTGGAGAGGCAGGTGGGTGTGACTATGAAAGGGTAGCTTAAAGGGTCTTTTGGTGTTGGGACTATTCAGAACCTTGATCTTGGTGGTTATGCACAAACCTACACATATGATAAAATTGTACAGAACTTAATACACACACCCAAATGAATACAAGTAAAAATGGGGAAATCAGAAAAAGATCAGTGGATTGTGTCAATGTCCATATCCTGGTCTACTGAAATCAGGAATTCAAACAGATACATGTACACCCATAGCAACATTTTTCATAATAGTGAAAAGGTGGCAACAACTCAAATGTCGAAAAACAGAAAAATAAACAAAATGTGCTTACTTAACAATGGAATCGTAGTCAGCCTTAAAAAGGAATGAAATTCTGTACATGCTACAATATGGATGAACCTTGAAAACACTAAGATAAGTGAAATAAACCAGATACTGGAGGAAAAATATTCTTTGATTCCACTTACATGAAGTCCATGGAATAGGCAAATTTATAGACAGAAAGTAGAATGATATTTGTCAGGGGTGGGGGAAGGAGGGAGAAGGGGAGTTGTTGCTAATGGATAGAGTTTTGTCTGGGTTGATAGAAACTGTTCCAGAAATGGTTGGTTCTGGAGATGGATACAACAATGTGCACAACAATGTGGATGTACTTAAGGCCACTGAATTGTACACCTAAAAATGGATAAAAGGGTAAATTTTTATGTATATTTTACTGCCATAAAGAGTGGGAAAAAATCCTGGTTGTAATATTGTAGTATAGTTTTGCAAGATGTTACCAATGGGAGGCAGGGGGCAAAGTGTACTCAAGATCTCTGGAATTGTTTCTTAGCCACTATGTGTGAGCCTGCAGTTGTTTCCATTTTTAAAAAGGAGGAAAAGGATGGGTATTATTGAATGAATATTATACCTCAATAAAATTGATTAAAACAAAACAACCCACCAGAGCCTCTGGATCAAATGGCTTGGGTATGAATCTCACTTACTAGCTTTATGACTTAGGCACGTTTCTTAGGCCCTCATCTCATCACCTATGAAGTGGGGATAAGAAAAGTATTTATCTCAAAGAGTTTTTGTGAGTCCCAAGAAATGCACCCAGCACTGTGCAGTTAGTTGCTTTTGTAAACTGGGTTCCAAAATGTCATTGGTCACTGTCAGTTCTTCGGAAGTCCAAGTGCATTTTCTGTCACAAGCATTGAAGCTCATGGTAGTTTTAATTCTCAGGCTTGCTGACCCAAGTCTTTGGACGCAGTGTAGCTCAAACGGAACATTTGTGATGACTGCATTAACAGAGGTCAATCCTGATGCAGTATGTCATAAAACAAAATGGAGAGCCACCAAACTGAGCAAGAACATGCTGGTGTTGGGGGGACAGCAGACTTAGCCAAAGGTACGGAGGAGCACATGAGAGATCCAGAAGGCTGTACCTGCATCTTCCAAGGGCATTACCAGCCCTGGTTTTTAATTTTGTTGTTGAATGTCGAAAGTAAGGTCCTTGCAGGGCTCAACATGTGTGTAGCCCTGCTCTTAGTTTATCTACTCACATTTTGGCTCTTTGTGGGAGGAAAAATGCAGGAACAGGTAGGCACTCTGGCATTTGCCTACCCCATTTCCAGGGTCCCTCAGTGTCTGGCATGGCGGGCCATACTTTATTTGGGTTCCCAGGTGCTTCACCATCTTATTCGGAAGCCCTTGCAGTGGCTCAAACATTCAATGCTCCCTCCCTCTCTCTCATCTCTAGGACTTGGCATATGATGCTTCCTCCTCAAACATCCTCCATGCCCTTTGTTTGGCAAACAGCCTTTTGTTCTTCAGGACTCAGTGCTGGTGTGACCTCTTCCAAGAAGCCTTCCT